GAATCCAGGTGGAGTGAAATGGACGGATTCGCCTGTTTCTCCTGGGGAAATCCACATGAGCTGTTGTTGTGGGTATTAATAGATGATCCTGTACGTCAGCTGTTATTACATCTCTGCATTCAGCTGATCATGTTCACTCGCAATGAATCACTGCAAACGTGTGTAATTCTGGAAATAACAATGTAAATGCGATTAGGCTGGATGTGAAAGCTGCCATTCAATGCTCACTTAACAGGCTTGTATGACTAAATTAAAGGAGTTGTACGTGTATGCATTGATTTATAAGGTGGTTAATAATAAAGTTGTTTATGGATAAATGTGTTTGTTCATTATAACCTTTCTGTAGTCAGACAGGCGTTCAGACATATCGTCCCCTTAGAATTATCAGGTTCTGTCTGACATTTTTGTCAAAATTGAGTTATTGACATATTCTTATTAAATGGCAGCTTATTTACATTATGGGATGTTTTCTTTTATAATTATTTTTTTTCGCATTTTAAGACTTATTTATAAAAAACAACAGTTTATCTACAGTTGAACTCTAGCTTGGCTCTATAAGGTTCTTTCTGTGAGCCAATCAGCATTTTAATGCACACATGAGGACCAATCAGGATCAGCTTCCTTTGTCATTTTGCCGGACTGCCCACAGCCATGTCACCCTGCAGCCAAAGAGCGGTTACTCACTGAAGCTAAGCAGGGCTGAGCCTGGTCAGTACCTGGATGGGAGAGCACATGGGAACACAAGGTTGCTGTTGGAAGTGGTGTTAGAGAGGCCAGCAGGGGGCGCTCAACCTGAGGTCTAGGTGAGTCCTAATGCCCTAGTAAAAGTGAAGAGGACACTACACTGTCAGTGGGCGCTGTCTTTCGGATGAGACGTTAAACCGAGCTCCTGACTCTGTGGTCATTAAAAATCCCAAGGCACTTCTCGTGAAAGAGCAGGGGTGTAACCCCGGTGTCCTGGCCAAAGTCCCTCTATCCGCCCTTACGATCATGGCCTCCCAATCATCCCCTTCCACTGAATTGGCTCTCTCACTGTCTCTCCACTCCACCTATAGCTGGTGTGTGGTGAAGCACTGGCGCCGTTGTCCTGTGGCTGCCGTCGCATCATCCAAGTGGAGCTGGACACTGGTGGATGTGTGGAGAGACCCCGCTCATGACTGTGAAGCGCTTTGGGTGTATGATCATACATGATAAATACACTATATAAACACACATTACAATACACTGACAAACAAGAAAGAAACAAAAAACATACAAAATCAGAGTCGGCTAAATAATGCTGCACCACACAAATGGAGAAGTGTGTAAATGTGATGATTTAGAAGCATATATATATATATATATATATATATATATATATATATATATATATATATATATAAAACACACACACACATACAGGTAAACATTTGACAGATAGATGACTGAAATCATGTATGAATGATGGCATTTCTTTATTCAGTAAATAGATGTGGACACCTACTCATTCAATCACTGACAATAAATACAAGCAAACCAGCATTACTAAATGAACGTACAGCACACATCAAGTACACCAGCCAGTCTAAAATGATGCATGCACACACACCACAACAATATCAGCCACACAAACCAAGCACCATGCCATGTGGATATTCATAGCAATAACTGTCAACCTGTGACCATACACAAGTGCAATATATTAATCCTGTCGGCATAATATAATTCATATGATCAGACAGTCCGAGTAAACACTAGAAACACTCTTGATCTGGTTTCACTTAAATTGCCTTCAGAAAGTAAGACTCTGCTAATCGTCACTCCTGTAAACAAAACCTGCTGTCAACCTAAACGCTGCTAAATCACACCCATCGCCTGTGTACCGCATATATTTATGTATATGTATGTAAACTAATATATTTACATTATTCCTATATAGGGCGAGGCAGTGGCGCAGTGGGTAGCACGTTCGCCTTACAGCAAGAAGGTCGCTGGTTCGATCCTCAGCTTAGTTGGTGTTTCTGTGTGGAGTTTGCATGTTCTCCCTGCATTCACGTGGGTTTCCTCCGGGTGCTCCGGTTTTCCCCAAAGTCCAAAGACATGCGGTACAGGTGAATTCCGTAGTGTGTGTGTGTGTGTGTGTGTGTGTATGGTTCCCAGAGATGGGTTGCGTCTGGAAGGGCATCCGCTGCGTAAAAACTTGCTGGATAAGTTGGCAGTTCATTCCGCTGTGGCGACCCCGGATTAATAAAGGGACTAAGCCGACAAGAAAATGAATGAATGAATGAATGTATTCCTATATAAAAACCTTTTATATACAAACATTTCTGCACATATATATATATATATGCAGGTGTGTATTTACCCATGCATGATTAGCACACACAGCACACACAAACACACTTCAATCATTTCACAAACACTACTAAACATCCAGCCTTATTTTGCCACTGTTAAACCACGTCACTAATAGCACACAGTATTGGCCTCGCTGAGCCTCTATTTACATGTTCATATATTTAAGGGGGCAGTTCACCCCAAAATGCTGATTCTTTCTTCATTAAACACAAGCGAAGATATTCTGCCTACTGATGGAAAACCAGTCAACATTCACTGCTATAACAGACAAATAAATACTGTGGAAGTCAATAGACACACGTTTCTAACATTACAAAACAAATATCTTCACTTGTGAATGAAGGAAGGAACTCAGATTTGAAAGAAGCACAAGCTGACTCAATAATCACTGACTGCTCAATATTGGCTGAACTGGCCTTTCAAGCTTGACTAACTTAAAGCTGCAGCTCACAGAAAACATTTCCTCACCATTTACTGTTTCTTCTCTTCTAAACCAGACATTTTTCATTCAACTCAACACAAAAGAAAACACGGTAACACTTTATAATAACTGCACACTATAAATCATATATTAAACATTAGCATGTAGTGCATTCATCATCTGTTAGGCATTAACTCTACATTAATAAACATTAGTAAGCAGTTTATAACTGCAGCTACTAATGCTGTATTCTTGACTTACAACCACATGTATAATGTGCCTAATAATTGTATTTTCATACTGTGTTAATGATTTATTTTTCATTACTCAATGAAGTATTGCATTATTCACAAACCCTTTGCATTTAGGAGTAGTTGGTGGTTATTAAGATAAATCAGAATGAGTGAGTAAATGATTAATAAACTATTGAAATCAACGCTTATATATCATATTATGCAGCCGTATATTAATAGTTACTATACATGTTAATGAATGCTTTATTAATGCAGTTTTGTGAGCTAGGACTATTCATGCTTTATAAATCCCTTATAAATGACAAATAAACGCTCAGAATCAACTGAACAATAATCTTTGCAAGCTTATCTAAACAATAAAATGACTGTAAAGTCCAAATATTGCCAAATAACAGGTGTCAAAATACAACATACAACTGGATACAACAACAATATAATAATAAGCAATGATTAAACTGGTCAGTGGTTTATTTAAGATCAGGCTGCAAAGATGACTTTTCATTTGAAGCACAGTTTCATTTGTGTATCTTCAAACAAATAAGACTGAATAAAGTTGTTTATGTCATTTTTCTTGTTTATATAATGCAATACTTCATTTAGTAATGATAAATAAATCATTAACACAGTATGAAAATACAATTATTAGGCACATTATACATGTGGTTGTAAGTCAAGAATACAGCATTAGTAGCTGCAGTTATAAACTGCTTACTAATGTTTATTAATGTAGAGTTAATGCCTAACAGATGATGAATTCACTACATGCTAATGCTTAATAAACGATTTATAGTGTGCAGTTACTATAAAGTGTTACCGAAAATACTTCTGAACAATGTTGAACACTGTTATAACAGTAAACATACTGATACCACCTCAACATTGATTGTTTCAAATGTCTCCTGTGTTCAACAGTGATTTCTGGCTGCACCGTGCCTTTAACTCTACTGCAACTTTACTAAATAAAAAAATACAGGCGTCAAACTAGTGGGAATGCACAATTCGAGGCACAATGATCCCTTTTTAGACAACTGTCCCTTTAAGTTGCATTACACTTAAAGAGACGGTACACCAAGAAATCCCTCACTCTAAATTTAATCCAAACCTCGTACAGTTATTCAACTGAACACAAGTGATTTCCAACATTCTTCAGAATATCTTCTAATCATTGACCACCATGCTAAAATACTGTTGAAGTCAATGGTTACCAGTTTGGAAATAATGGACAGTCATTTCTTAAGGGAGAGGGGGTGGATGTGTACTGTCTCTTTAAATTTAGTACCACTTAAAAAAACAGTTCACTCAACAAAAAAAAAAAAAACACACATTTACTCAACATCGACTACTTCAACAATGCTTGAAATCGATCATTATTGCAATTAAAGTCAATGCCCATCAACTTTTAACAGTTGGAAAGTGACTGATGTTTGGCTCACTTTCAATTCAGCACAACTTAAAGGTACAGTTCACTTAGAAATATAACATGACATTTTACTCTCCATACACTGGCTTATTCTGTTGACAAGCTATAAGAATTTACACACATCTTATAAACCAGTAATCACTGAGTATGACAGCAGGAAAAATACAAACACTACTGATGTCAGTGGTTACTGCTTTTAGATAAAGGATTGATTTAAAAAGTGAGTGATTTTTCAGTGCGCTGTACCTTTAAATTGCACTCAAATAAAGGGACAGTGCATCTACAAATTCAAACAGAGCCATCGTTTACCCTACAAACATTTGTTCTCAACAATTATACTCTTTATAATCATCATCATTATTATTATTATAATTACAGTTTTGCAAATAGAGTAAATGATGACTCAGTTTACACTTTGGTGTCATTTATCCCTTTAAGTTGCACTACATTTAAAGAGACAGTGCACCCACTGATGAAAACTGCACCATCATTTACTCTCCCCAAATTTAATGCACATTTTTATTCTGTCGACAAATACAGACACTTTTTTTAAAATCTTTTTTTCTATCTTATGTGCTTTTTTTGCTGCTTTTTCTTTATTTTTGTCTTTATAATTGTTGCATTTTGTATTGCTCTCTGTTGCTTTAAAAAAATCAAAAATATGTTATTATATTATTTTATATTTTTTAATATTTAAATAAAAATGTCATAAACCACCATCGACCACCATATATATTACAAAAATATATATAAGCAAGTCAATGGCCTCTGATTACAATCAATTGTAGAGAGTGATAATTTAATGCACTGTCCCTTTAAGATGCCTGCAATGTAAATAATCCTAATTTCTCCTCACTATAGTCTGAACGTGTGATTATCCCTGAGCTCCAGTGAGGGTCTCCACACTCTGTAGAGCTCCTGCAGCGTGCGCACGTCTTCAGATGCGTCGTGAGCTCCATACTCCTGCTGCAGAAAGTGCTGGACCAGGAAAGGCTGTGAGAATTTCTGTAGAGCATTTCTAAACATCTCCCGGCTCAGACTCAGCGTGTCCACACACTCCGACGCACAGCTCCTGAACTCCTGCAGCAGCCCGAACTCCTCCAGCACACGCCGCAGGATGGGCCAGTCGAACCGCCGGCTGTTGTGGCCCACCAGGATCGGCCTGCCGAAGGTCTGAGGGAAGAATATTTCAATAAACACACACTGAACTTGACACAGACTAATACATACATCTTATGTTTAGTCCTTTTGGGTGGGGCTATCAGTCCCTTAAGGCGGAGCTATTAAGCATTTAAGGCGGGGTTATTACCCCTTTAGGGTGGGGCAATCCCTAATTTAGGGCAGGGCTACCAGTCATTTAGGATGGGACTATCAGCCCGTTAAGGAGAGGCTAGTCATAATTTAGGGCTGGGTTATTAGTCCTTTAGGGCGGAGCTAGTAATCATTTAGGCCAGGGTTATCAGTGCATTAAGGCGGAGCTAGTAATCACTTAGGGTGGGGTTATCAGTACATTAAGGCGGAGCTAGTAATCATTTAGGGCAGGGTTATCAGTCAATTAAGGCGGAGCTAGTAATAATTTAGGGCGGGGTTATCAGTGCATTAATGAAAGGCTAGTAATCATTTAGGGCGGGTTATCAATCCATTAAGGCGGAGCTAGTAATCATTTCGGGCGGGTTATCAATCCATTAAGGCAGAGCTAGTGATCATTTAGGCCAGGGTTATCAGTGCATTAGGGTGGAGCTAGTAATCATTTAAGGTGGGGTTATCAGTGCATTAAGGCGGAGCTAGTAATCATTTAGGGTGGGGTTATCAGTATATTAAGGCGGAGCTAGTAATCATTTAGGGTGGGGTTATCAGTGCATTAAGGCGGAGCTAGTAATCATTTAGGGTGGGGTTATCAGTGCATTAAGGCGGAGCTAGTAATCATTTAAGGTGGGGTTATCAGTGCATTAAGGCGGAGCTAGTAATCATTTAGGGTGGGGTTATCAGTATATTAAGGCGGAGCTAGTAATCATTTAGGGTGGGGTTATCAGTGCATTAAGGCGGAGCTAGTGATCATTTAGGATGGGGTGATCAGTGCATTGGGGTGGAGCTAGTAATCATTTAAGGTGGGGTTATCAGTGCATTAAGGCGGAGCTACTAATCATTTAGGGTGGGGTTATCAGTACATTAAGGCGGAGCTAGTAATCATTTAGGGCGGGGTTATCAGTACATTATGGTGGAACTATCAGTCATTTAAGGTGGAACTATTAATCATTTACAGCAAGGCTCTCTTTCCTTTAGGGCGGGGTTATCATGCTATTACTCATTTAGGGTGGGGCAATCAGTGATTTGGGAACTGAAAGTCTCACCTTAAATGACTGTTGTAATTCAAATGAACACTAAATATATTAAAACTACATAGAACTGCATTCACAACATTCGAACTACATTAAAACAAACAAAACCAATAATGAAACAAACTAAAACCACACTGAAACACAGCACATTTGAAAAAAGTACTGAAATCAAAACACATCCAAACAGTGCCTCTCCACTGACCTGGTTCTGCAGAAAGCGTATGAATCCTGTGAGGGCCTGCTGGTGTGGGACGGTCTGCACGGGCCGCTCTCTCAACATCAACGTAGACCCGTCCACCCAGAGGCCGGTGACTTGAGACGCTCCCTCCGTTATGCAGCAGCGTGGCAGCAGATACACACTGAACACCTGAGCGCCGCTGATGGCCGACAACTGCACGATATCACAGCGGGACGTGTCTGAACACAGGACAACCAGAGAAACAGGTTACACACTATATTACAAACATCTAATGCATATTTACACTTTTATGTGTGTGTATATGTAGTTAAAGTTATTTATTCTACCTCCCTGAATATTTTATTACCCTAGTGAAGCCTTTACATGTCACTTTAATCTGTATAGAAGTGTCTTGAAGAATATCTAGTCTAATATTATTTACTGTCATCATGACAAAGAGAAAATAAATCAGTTATTAAAGATGAGTTATTAACACTGTTATGATTAGAAATGTGCTGGAAACATCTGCTCTCAGCTAAACAGAAATAAGCAGGGGGCTAATAATTCTGACTTCGTATTTATATATTGTTTTTGGTATTTTTAATGTGAATTCTATATTCCTTTTTTATATAATTAAAACAATATTAATTTAAAATTGGACAACTTTTTCTCAGTACTGGGTTGCAGCTGGAAGGACATTCGCTGCGTAAAACATATCCTGGATAAGTTGGTGGTTCATTCCACTGTGGTGACACGGATTAATAAAGGAACAAGGCCAAAAAGAAAATGAATGAATGAATGAATGAATGAATGAATGAATTGGACAATTAATAAACTTTACAGCATTCTGGCACAATATTGAATTCAGGTTTAATACTGACACGTGTTCAGCTTGTTCCACTCATGAACCTTTAAATATATCGTCATAAAGCGTATATAACAGTTACTACAATCCTTCAAACGCCTGCTGCATCTCTTTAATAAAGTACTTATCTAGTGAAAGTAGCCTATGTAAATAAAAGAGTTTGATATGTACCCAGTCCGGTGGTCTCCAGGTCAAAGAACACCAGCGTCTCTTCCTCGCTTATCATGGCTTTACCTGTCAAACACACACACACGCACACACACACACGTCAGAACTACAACAGACAAAAAATCTACCACTGTGATGACTACACACATTATCGCGAAACCGAAACAACAGTCATTACAAAGTCGACGCGACTGAAATGTTATTAACTAGTCGTGATTATTTTAGCGGAAGTTGTGATTGTGTGAGTGTTAATTGTGTGTGTTCTGTTGTTTAGCTCACACACACTGTTGTGGTTAAAGCTGAGTTGTTGTAAATCCTGCACGGACAGCAGTGTTTTCCTGCTTTTGTTGTTGTTTTTGTGTTTGGAAAGTGCGAGACTCACCGCTCGTGATCCACTGGAGGAGCCGCAGCAGGAGTCCAGTCACCGCGCGCAGAACACCCGCGATCCGCCCGAACACAGACACACTCGCCGGGGGAACACAGGGACGCTGCGCCGCTCTCTGGAGCTTCGCCGGACACATGACTGGAAAGTCTGCGGTGTTTCGTTTTTACAGAATACACCCACACACACATCCGCTGGAAACTTTTTTGGGGTCGGTTTCGAATACGAATACACACACAGAACACACACTCACATACACACTAACACACACACACATCTCTTTTTGTAGGAAACTGCGATATTAAATCTGTGAAGAATGAAAGTTACGCCCACATGTCATAAGACCTACTGTCATGACAACACACACACTAATAAACACACACTAATAAAGACACATACACACATTAATAAACACAGACAAACATACCGAGACAAACAAACATACGCACACACTAATAAACAGACACGCATGAATTTAAGCTGTTTAAATCAACAAGCACCTCAAACATGACCACTAGAGTCTAAGCTATGCGTTAACACGATAAATTATTGAAAAACAACTATAGAAATGTATATAATTGTATTAAATTACATTTATAAATATTTGATTATGATTATTTTTATTATGATAAGCAACTGTTCTGAAATAGGCTACATTACAATTGAAGCTATTCTGTGACCACATAAGATAAGCCAGACTTAAAATACTTAAAATTATTAGTGATTTACAATATTTTCACTCTTAAACATTGAAATGTATCCATATTTCCTATTTAAAAGGTTATAAATTATATTAATAATTATTAAAATATTCATTCATTTTCTTGTCGGCTTAGTCCCTTTATTAATCTGGGGTCGCCACAGCGGAATGAACCACCAACTTATCCAGCAAGTTTTTACGCAGCGGATGCCCTTCCAGCCGCAACCCATCTCTGGGAAACATCCACACACACATTCACACACACACTCATACACTACGGACAATTTAGCCAACCCAATTCTCCTGTACCGCATGTGTTTGGACTGTGGGGGAAACCGGAGCACCCGGAGGAAACCCACACGAAGGCAGGGAGAACATGCAAACTCCACACAGAAACGCCAACTGAGCCGAGGATCGAATCAGCAACCCAGCGAACTTCTTGCTGTGAGGCGACAGCACTACCTACTGCGCCACTGCCTGGCCCAGTATTAAAATATACTAGTACATATTGCCAGTCAGTGGCGGATTTAGGCACGGGCAGTATGGGCGATTGCCCAGGGCGGCATCTTGCTGGGGGTGACATGAGGAGATGGTGCAAAAAAAGTGCCCCAGTAAAAGCTTTGAGATCAGATTTACTTAATGCAAGTGTAATTATTTAGAGTGGGTATCCCAGAATAAAGATGTTAGACTTTTCACATTTGGCTTCTTTTGCTATTTTGTTTTTCTTTACATGCAACGGTGCAACAGAAACAACGCTCGTGAAAACAAACTGACGCATGTGTGCAGAAAGCCATTCCCGCGCGCTGTTCCTGACCCCGGTTGTTTATTGTACATGCAAGTTGACAAAACTAAAGTTTATTTCATATGATGATGTTACTTTGACTAAGCATGGCTATGAAGCAGAAAGGAGGGATAATGAGTCAGGGAGATAACAAAGACTTCATAACATTAATTCTCGGCCATGAGTCAGGTCTAATATTACAGATAATTCTATAAAACATATATTTTTTGTATTTTATAGAACTGTCATAATTTATATTCATGCATAAGTCTTAGAATATGACTCCAGTTGTGTCTTTAAATTGTTTTTCAGCTACATTTAGGACTGAGTTCTGTTATTTATTTAGAATAATAATTGTATATGATAATAATAATAATAATAAACAAATTGTTATATTTATTGAAAATAAATAAATATATTTAAATGTATGTATAATAATTATTTTAAATATTTAAAATGTAAATAAAGTCAACCACATAGTGTCCTTATTTCTTGGGGGATGGGGGTATGTTTGGGGTGGTTTCACTAAGGGTGCCATTTAAACTAGTACTGCCACTGTTGTCAGTGTAACAACAACAACAAAAAAAAACATTGCAATATTTCTTTAATAATCTTTTTTTTTTTTTAATAAGACAATGATGTTTATTTTCTTTACATCCGCACACACTGATTTACACATTAAGGAAATATTCCACAAATTGCACCGTTTACAATGTGCTCCCGACAGCACAAACACAAAATCTCAAAGCACAGACTGTCTCAGTCCATCAAACACAAAGCAGGATCATTCAACTGAAAAATAATCGTCATATGCAAGATATTACATCCCTCCATTACATCCCTTGTTTATCTTTACAGTCTTAGCGCGAAACATACTCTACTACACGCACGTGTTTCTGCATTCAAAACAGCGCGCGCGAGCTCATTAGCATAAAAACCGTCAGTTTGTATGCTCATACTGAAGCAGCGGTCCTAGGTTAGTTAAAACGTCGGCATGTTTACACCTAGCAGTCTAAAACCAGTTCACCTACAGAAAACTGAAGGTAAGTGACACCCTTAAGTACTGAAGCCATAATAGTTCACGCGTATATTTGCATAGAGTATGTTTCTGGCCTCAAACAGCGGCTGTAAAGGAGATTTGTTTTGTCAATAGTGTGGCATGCTACATGATTACATTCACTTATGCAGGACGCAAAACAATAAACAAACCGTTTCCTTCTCTCTGCCAAGATAGTGGACTGCATTAGTGGACTTATGGTTAGAATAGTACCCAAGTATACTTATTTAAACATAATTAGCTTACAGTCTTTCATGATATTGCACCAATGGTGACGGTTTCTTGCAATAGATGCTATGATGACATAGATATAGACATAAATATTAGTAACAGCACATGGAAAAACAGTAAACAGCTTCTGGAGACACATTCCCTGCACATAAACAGCAATGTTTATCATGTAAACTGATTATGGTTAATTCTTTTTGCTGTTATGTGTCCTTACTGCAATAAATGCGGACGTTGATGTCAGAATAAAGGGGAAAAATACACAGCAGACGACCCTGTTATAGACGCTCATGATAAATTAGCCCTAAATTAAAACACAGAAAGGACATTGTTGCCTAAAATAACGTAATTCCAGATGGCACAGTGGAAAGTCACACCAAAATAAATCCAGATACCTGAAATTCACAATAAAATAAGCACTTATAAAACACAATATACTTTAAAAAAAAGCAATTTAAGGGTGACAAAATAGATGTTCAAGTCTTGATTTGGTTGCACTACAGCAAAGAATTGTGGGACAAACACGTTACACATATCTGACGTTTCATCCCTAATCATCCTTTATCTTTGTGTTTTAAAGAAATAAATAAAAAAAGGATGAATACCCAGAATCAAAACAATTCACTGGGGATGAATAAGAGCGTGTGCCATTTTATGAGGCTCGTCCGTAAGAAACACAACGTCTGCAACACAAAAAGACATTATTTTCACATGGGTCAACCAGCAGCTCAGGGATTTCAGCTATTTACAGGAACTCTTATCAATAATATAATATTACTTTACATATTTAGCACTTTATCAAAGGTTTTTAATCATAGAGTGAAAACAATGATAGCGATGCGGCATGCAGTCGGCTGAAGTCACCTGACCTCTCATTGGCTCAGTTCTGTAAACATGATAAATGGACATTACAGCTTAAGTAAAAATCGCTCGTTCCCTGCTCAGCTACTCTAGAATCTATTGTGAAAAATGGACTGGTCCAGCCGGTCCACTTTACAGTCAGTAGGTCATGTTCACTGTGATGCTTCCCATTCATTTCCACACCGTTCACTACTTTCGATCCTTCCTTTCGTTTTGTTCACTGGAAGGATGAAGGATGGGCTACTGTTGCATGAAAGGCCAGATGGTTGATTTTCAAGCCGTTAGAGTTATTCAGCAAAAGGTGGACATCATTATCAAGAGCTGTGGCCATGAATCCAATTGGGAAATGTTTCTGTATGGATTTACAGATTTTTTTAATGCACTGTGATTCTCTCCCCAATGGACTCTGAGCTTAGTTTTTACCAACAGATGGCGCTATGTGCTTTACAAACAGCATTAAATCCTATACGCACACCACTGGAGAGTGCCACCTGCTGTTACACACTAGCCTAGAGTGCCGTCTGTTGTTCAAAACTAGCCTAGAGCGCCGTCTGCTGTTCAAATCTAGCCTAGAGCACCGTCTGCTGTTAAAAACTAGTCTAGAGCACCGTCTGCGGTTAAACACTAGTCTAGAGCACCATCTGCTGTTAAACACTAGCCTAGAGTGCTGTCTGTTGTTCAAAACTAGCCTAGAGCGCCTTCTGCTGTTCAAATCTAGTCTAGAGCACCATCTGCTGTTAAAAACTAGTCTAGAGCACCGTCTGCTGTTAAACACTAGCCTAGAGCACAGTCTGCTGTTAAACACTAGCCTAGAGCACAGTCTGCTGTTAAACACTAGCCTAGAGCGCCATCTGCTGTTAAACACTAGCCTAGAGTGCTGTCTGTTGTTCAAAACTAGCCTAGAGCGCCGTCTGCTGTTCAAATCTAGTCTAGAGCACCATCTGCTGTTAAAAACTAGTCTAGAGCACCGTCTGCTGTTAAACACTAGTCTAGAGCGTCATCTGCTGTTCAAAACTAGTCTAGAGCGTCATCTGCTGTTAAAAACTAGCCTAGAGCGCCACCTGCAGTTCAAAACGAGCCATCAGCTGTTCAAAACTAGCCTAAAGTGCCGTCTGCTGTTCAAAACTAGCCTAGAGCACCACCTCCTGTTCAAAACGCGCCATCTGCTGTTAAAAACTAGCCTAGAGCGCCACCTGCTGTTCAGAACAAGCCTAGAGCGCCACCTGCTGTTCAAAACTAGCCTAGAGCGCCGTCTGCTGTTCAGAACTAGCCTGAAGCGCCATCTGCTGTTCAGAACTAGCCTAGAGCGCCACCTGCTGTTCAAAACTAGCCTGAAGCGCCATCTGCTGTTCAGAACTAGCCTAGAGCGCCACCTGCTGTTCAAAACTAGCCTAGAGCGCCACCTGCTGTTCAAAACTAGCCTGAAGCGCCATCTGCTGTTCAGAACTAGCCTAGAGCGCCACCTGCTGTTCAAAACTAGCCTGAAGCGCCATCTGCTGTTCAAAACTAAGCTCCGAATCCATTCCAGAGAGAATCGCAATACATTCATGAAATCTCAGTATCAATGCAGAATAATTTCCCACTGTGATTCATCATCATCATCATCATCTTCCTCACACCATGAACTCATTGCTGCCATACAGCACTAAAGGCTGTGAGGAACCAAACTCGTGCTCTCTCCTGCGTCCGCCAGTGTCTCCCGGCTCGCGGGGCTTCGGCGGGCAGCTCCGGTTGGCTCGGGGCCGCGGTCGGGTTTTTTCGGAGCTGGAGGCACAGCGGGCGCTCAGGGAAGCCTGTTCGCAGCTCTCCGGGTCGGGGAGAATGTGCAGGTCTCCAGTTGGGGAGCTGGAGGAGAACAGAGGACCGGAAGAAGATGAGCGAAACCGATAATGAGGCGTCGACGACACTGAGGAAAGTGAAGCGACGGCTGAATCCACAGAGTCCAGAGATTCAGGCTGACGCCGCAAACATCGCCTGCTTTTAGACTCCGACTTCCTCCAGCGAGATGCAGACACTGCGCCGGGGCTTTTTTCTGAAACAGAGACATTTTTAAACTTAACCCTTGGGTGCTGTTGGGTGGTTTTCATCCACTCTGGGGTGATTTTGAGTCTTAATTTGGCCACAACTCTCTCTGTGTTTCAGCAAATGGGATGATGTTTAGTGATGAATCTTATTTTGACACATATTTTGGGGAAAATAATTTGAAAATGTTCAAAAATTCAACAATACACTTTGGGCAGATTGACTCCCCTTTGGTTATGTTAGGGGCTGTTTTTGCCCCCTTGACTTACATTATAATCACATTATTAAGGGTTTTAGCTAATTTAATGTGTAGTTTTTAACCCTTGTGTGCTGTTGGGTGGTTTTCATCCACTCTGGCGTGATTTTAAGTCTTAATTTGGCCACAACTCTCTCTGTGTTTTCTCATAGATATCTATTATATTGACATTTTGGGACTGCAAAGCCATGACAGCTGCTGGTTTTCCTTTTTGGGAAGAGGTAAAACAGTAGAAATTAAGTTTTACCTATTTCCCAACAGAAAAAAACACCTACAATCAAGATACAGTCATTAGACTATTCATTTAAAAACACAACCTGCTTTTAATCTCTTACAAACAAAATGCACAAAACTTTAATCACCCCACGGATCAGAAGCGGCTCCCTCCGACTCCATCAGGTTTTCTGAGCTGTCCGCCGTCCCGATTGACGCCTCCGACTCCAGCATCTCATCATCAGACGCTCGCGGCTCCAAAGCCAGCATCTCATAGGTCAGCTCTTCCCTAAAATGAAGCAATAATGAAGTCAGCTCCTCCAGACAGGAAGAATAGTTCATGCGGAGGTGATAAAGGTGTGTGTTTACTTCTCCTTCTGCAGGTTTTCTATCTGCTGCGTCAACACTTTCTCCTCCTGCTGCATTGCTGCCTGCTGCTGCTCGCTCAGCACAGGCTCCGCCCCCTCATCAACAGGCTCCTCCCTCTCAGACGCCCGAGGACTTAAAGGTGGAGACGGCGTGTGATGGCCAGATTTACGAGCACGACTCTTACCCTGAAGAGCAGAGCAGAGAAAACCTTATCATTAGAGAGCATCAAATTACTGATTTAAACTGTGTGCTATAAAATAATAACTAAATAAATAAATAAAATATATGATATAATGTATATAATATTGAAAATACAATATATATATATATACATATAATATTATAATAATACAATATTATATATTTAAAGAAATACAGACAAATTATAGGCAAAAATATGAATAAATATCATTATTTAACATTTTAATATTTTTTAAAATATTTAAAATGACAAAATATACAAAATATTTTTACAAATGCACACAAAAAATTCACACACACACACACACACACACACACACACACACACACACACAAATAAATACATAATATTTACACAATAAAATAAAGTCTAGCATGAAACGCCTTACATGAGGGTGATGGTCAGCATTTCAAGTCTCTACAGACACACACGCTAATACACACACACACGCACGCACGCACACTAACACACACACTGAGCTTTACCTTTTTAGCTGCGTTTGGCTGTGTAATAATGCAATGAGAAGCAGCAATGAAGGAGCAATAAAAGAAAAAAAATTTGGTGTTGTTAGTAAAACAGCAAGATGTAGCATGCGCAATTAAAAAAAGACAAACTCAGCAAATAAATAAAGCAATGAGCACATCATTTGGACATTTTGCTAACCAAACACAGGACCTGAACATCCGCAGATAAACATGACTATCATCAGACCACGACTGACGACGCGACACAGAGGACTACAGAGGTGCGGCGTCATACATACCGACGTCACCGTTCTGGAAATGCCAATAAACCTAACCGCGATTAGTACCGGTTTCTGGAAGAGGAGGATGAGGAGTGAAAACAGGGTTAGTGGAGGCAGAGCGGCGACTGCAGATGTGTGGCGCTTTCTTTCATTACTAACAATCACTAGCTGTGTTTCCATACAAAAGCTGTGAATTAGATCTATGCGCAACCGGAATATTGCATGACAGATTTGCGAATAAAGCATTGTTTCTGAGCCAGAGAGTCACTGTTGGGATTCTGTTAGTTCTCCTCTAATAAATGAGCTGTGCCTCAGAAGATGAAACGCAGTGGACGCGGTGGCTTACAGAGGCAGACTGATGCTCAAGACAGTTCTGGAGGGAACAATAATAGAAGAAGAAGAATACGGAAGCACTGATGATGGACTGATGGATTGTTGTACAATCAGCACAACAACATTTCACATCTTTTATCATGTAAAGCTGGAAACTCCCTGAAACACACTTTTACATCTGATCAGCATCTGTCAAAAACTGCATCACATCACATGCAGGAGACTCACTATTCTGTTTATGTGCATTTATTTTGATGGAAACATCGCTAGTGTCACTAATGCTAATATTCGACAATCTAATTTATCGTTATAATGAACATGCACAATATTGACATCAACGGCACCTAAAAATACAGTCAATCATTTATTATTTAAACCTTTAGACTGCTTTTTAAGATTTTTCCGATTGTATTTGCTGTAATTATTCATAACAGCGGCAAATGCTTGATTAATTAGCTTAATAGTTCAAACATGGGCATTTTCACATGTTAATCTAGTCTACCACATGCTGAAATATTCATGTAAATTCAGTGAATATTTATAAGGCTACTGTACAATAACAACAGGCCTCCGTTACTTAATTTAACCAAACTCACGATGAAAACTACGAACACTTTTATTAATCATAGCTGATGGTAATTTCTTAGTTAATGCCTAATTACGCATTAAAATCATAGTCGTAATCTAATTAGAAATCTTAATCTTTTATTAAATAGAGTAAATAACTAATATTAACATAGTAACTATTCTTTGTTCTTATACCTGTTAAATGCTGAAGATGGATTAGGAGTTTCCCATCAAAAATGTGTAAACCGCTTTGCGTGTCCAGAAAAGCACTATATAAATGTAAGGAATTATTAATATTATTATTAAAATACCTTTTTTTGCAGTTTATGTCTTTAATATCGCGGTAATACTGAATATCATAGTTAATCGCAACACGATTTAATTGAAATTGTTGTTTTTAGATTTCATGACCACATTTTGGAATGTACCAAATTCATAGAAAGTGAGGTGTCGTGATGGGGCGGGGCTTATATGGAGGTGGGGTTTAAATGGGTGTGCATTAGCATTATGTAGATCCTGTAGATTTCCCTCACCATGGAGCGGCGGATGTGCGTCAGGCGACTCTTGGCTTTGTTTTCTGCAAACTCCAGTGTGTTGATGTCCTTCAGTCGGGCTTTATATTTCCTCATCTGCTCACAGATGATAAGCTCCACACACCTGAGGGCAAGATAACGGCATTTAGTTTCACATGCAGATGGCAGTTACACTGTTAAAACGTTAATTAATTGACTACACGTGTTACACCTAAAGAAGTTAAGTTGAAAAAATGTCAATCTTTTGTGTGTAACAAGTTGGAGTCAAAGGTTGGAGTTAAAGTTGAGCCATTATTTCAGTGTATGTTTGCAGTAATTATTAAAAATGGTAATTGCAAGGTTTTTACCCCACAATTCTGCCAATTTTGTTAAAATTCTTGTCTTAAATCTCATCATTTTGACTTTTTCCCTCAGATTTGATCTCTGTTCTTAGCTTTACCTCATTATTCTGACCATTTTCTCAGATTGCAATTCTCTGAAAATCAGACTTTTCACAATTCAGTTTCTCACAGTATTTACTTCTTCCTAAATTTTTAGTTTATATAAGTAAGTAATGATTAATTTATATAGCACCTTCCCCACACTTATTGAGTCACAAAGTGCTTTACAATAAGAGAAAACAAGTAAGAGAACACATGACAATAAAAGAAAGCATGTTCAAACATATTAAAACTAATTAAAAATCCAAATACAGAAACACTAATACTGTTAATTAAAAGCTTGACCAAAACGTAGTGTCTTTAAATTCTTTTTAAAGATTTCGACTGATCCCAGAGTTCTCAGTGCGGTCGAGAGAGAGTTCCAGAGCCGAGGGGCCACCACACAGACGGCACGCTCACCTTTAGTCTTAAGACGAGTTCTGGGAATGGCTAAAAGGTCATTACTTGAAGACCTCAGAGACCGGCCGCATGAGTGACTACTTTAAAGATCTCGAATATATAGGGGTGCTTGAGCATGCAGAGCTCTATATGTAATGACCAGAATCTTAAAATTTACCCTAAAACTGATAGGAAGTCAGTGAAGAGCCTTAAGCACAGGAGTAATGTGTGACCTGCGACTGGTGTTGGTTAAAAGCCTCACCGCTGCATTCTCCACAACTTGCAATCGCTCCATGGAGGATTTGTTCAACAGTGAACAGAACATTACAATAATCCAATGTAGAGGAAATGTAGGCATGAACAAGCATCTCCATCGCTTCCTTTGACACAATATTTCTTATTTTTGCAAACACTTTTATAAAACACTTTAGCTTTTTTCCCCACTCACAGTTCGGACTGTTTTGAATTGATATCTCATTATTTCAGGGTTTTGCAGGTTTCATCAAGTTTATCAAATTTAGGACTTTTTAAAGACCGTTATAAATGAAATTTTAGACTTCACATGGCAAAATGCTGAGGATTTTTTGTAATAGCCAGTGGATTTTTTTCACTTGGGCCATTAAAAAGGAATTTGGTTATTTCCCAGTCACATATATTAAATAACAAGTCAAAACAAGTAAACTCCAGTTATATACACATATATATTTTTATTATTATAAGTTATCTTAAAAAAAAAGGATTAAAAAGCTCAAATAAATTAAATTAATGCACAACACACAATTATTCATAAATACATGGAGAACTTTTAAACAAATCTTATTGTAAGGATGGAATAAAGATAATTAAGTTGGTGAATTTTACTTTTGTTAAATGTTTTTTTAGATGGATTGTTGGTGGTAGCGATTGAGTAGCTTTACATGGACAAAGGAAAATTATGACCAGTTTAAAATAGTCTAAAACCTACAACACCATATTTCAGTGAATTTAAGACTTTTTAAGACTCAGCCTGTTTTTAAATAGCTCTCTCTGAAACTAAGTAAGATGAAGACTTGCATTTGCCTTTTTTAACCATGTAATCCCAGTGACTGAGACGATCGTCTTCACTATGCCGTACACTGTTATATATGGCTGATTGTAGAATTGCGTGAACATTTTCCCTCTTCAAGTCAAAATTTTGAGTATTTTTTATAATATTTCTATTAATAAACATTTTGAATAATGACAACAAATGATATAAAGTTATTTCTAAAGAATATTGCTTGTATGTGTATTTAGGTACAATGTCTTGAAAATATACTCCCTCTATTCATATTTATGACTTTCTCCATCTCCTTAATCGTACATTCAGCTTTAATTATCATTAAATCAGAAAATCTCATTTTCAGAAATACATGAGACAGTGTTTAAGACATGTTGTGTGATGTCTGCTTTGAGGTTAGCATCTAGAGCTAAAGCACAAAGCGATGGAAACTCTGTTAGTCAACTACATCGTCAACTCAGTTTAATAATAAGTTAGACAGCAATTAGTAACAGAGAATCAAATGTTCCCCATCAAGCATCTTTGATTATTTCACATTAATAATGATTTCAGTTTATATATTTTTGTAGATGATTTCAGTTTAAGGAAGATTAATAGGAAGAATCTACCTGCAGTGATTGATATATTGAGTGTGTGTGTATCTTACGCTGTGGTCTTGCTGATGTCCCGGACACTCTGTAACGGGTCGGTGGTGTCAGGACAGCGCAGTATACAGGGTGCAAACACGATGGCCAGCGCGTTCGCAGACATGCGGTTCGTCTCCTCCTGGAAAGAGATCCTGAAACCAGTGAACATACAGCATTAGCTGACTGTAGTCCAATCCTATTAGTACAGTTATACAGTAAACGGTGGATCATCCTTCAGTAGTGACATTGCATTACACTGATCTCAACCTCAACCTTGACATTTCTACTAAAATGAAGGGGTTTTAATTCATCTACATCAGCACCAGCATTAATCTCAACTAAAACATAAAGAGTAGGTGGAGCATATAGTAGCTCCTCCCCTTTAAAAAAACAGCCAATAGCATTTCCTTATTATCACAGCTCTGCCAGTTAGAGAGGTTCAGCTCAAGCACATCAAAAGAAAAGCCAATGAGAAGAAGGGGGTTGGGCATGTCAGATACTAGAGTGCATTTGATTGGTCAGAAGATTTTAAGAGGTCAGAAAAAAGCTGACAAACTGCAAGATTAGGATGTTTATATCAGGTGTAAATGTGAATTTTGACACTAGATAATAGATATCCTTAAAACTGACACTAACATCTAAAAAAAAAACTTATTTCAATGTCACAAGATCTTTAAGCTCTTAGACACAATCCACAGTGTAAAAAGCACTTAAAGAATAAAGATTCGTCTCACCGGACCAGGTGGAATATGAGTCTCTCCAGTGTATTCAGATGAGTCCTGCTGAGCTGATCGATGATGGAATAAACCCCCTGAACCACCTCACGCTTATCCTGCAGACCTACAGCAAAACACCATTTATACACTGTTCATACTAATGCTTGATTCTGATTGGCTGATGAGCACTCTAAGGTGTGCCGTTATTGTCAGATGCACAGCTAAAGTAGTTCCAGCAGGTCATTACAGCTCCATATCACTCCGCTGAATGATTAGAGTTATTTCACAGCTACAACAGTCAGAAACCACATCACACAACAGAAGGAGCGGAACATGTAGAAGAAACCAGTGCTACACGCATCTGAATTGATTTATAATTCTGACTATTTTATTAGCAATGCAGATTTTTTTTTCCCAATTTTAAAATTCACCTCCACCAAATAAACAAAGCAGGTTATTGCAAGTCTTTTCCCTACAATTCAGACTTGTTTTCCCCATCAAAATCTGAATTTATTACACAATTCTGACTTATTTTTCTCACAGAGTCAATATATAACAACGTTTTGACATTCAAATCATACAATTTTTACAAAAGAGTTTTGTTGTTGCTATTTTCAAGTGTATTTCTTGCAAATGTCGGTTAAGTGTTTACTTTTCCCCTTTTAAATTAGACTTCTCACAGTATACTTGACGTTCACACTACTGTCTTGCACTCTTGAACTTTCTTTTTGAAAGGAACAAAACACAAAGCATCATATAATAATCGGACAGGAGGTCCAACAGACTACAAGGCCAAACAACCCACCGATACATAAAACAGTTTAGTACAAATATACAAAAAAAGCTACTAAGAATCATTTACACAAATCCGTATACTTTTTCATAATATGGTTAAGGAAAAAGCATTAAAAACACAATGATTAATGCTCCTACCCATAGCCCTGAGGAACTCCTCGTACAGTTCAAAGGTCATGAGCGGGTTGGGAAGGTCACGCAGCCACTGCTTCAGCACACTGGCGATCACATGGATGTTGTAGTCATCTAAATTCACACTGTTCGCATCTGTGGAGGCAAACAAACAACAATTTATATGTTTATTAAGCTTATCCTGCGATGCAGAAGTGCGCTCTTCTCTGTGACTGTTTTAGAATCTCTGGGAAATGACGAGGAATAACAAACGACAGAAAACAGTCAGACTAACTGCTCTACAAACAAGTGTGTTCACGACTGTACATAAGATTAACATGTTTGGCTAGTTCTGTGCAGAATTTAGCTACAAATCTGCAGATTTATGTGATATGTTTTTGACCGTATAGTAACCGAATACTATGTGAATAATAAAAACTTGATAATAATAAAATAATAAAGTATTTGTTTTTTTATTAAGGTTTATAATATAAATCTAATTAGATCCACTTGTTTGGTAAACAAAGCAACTCTCTAAAAACTATGTAAATAATAAAAACTTGATAACAGTGGAATAAAAACATAAAATTATATAGTTTTTTTACTATCTAAAAATGATGTCAATAATAAAAAGCTTATAATGATCAAATTAAAACATGAAATAAAAAGCAACTTTTAAACTTATTTACGATTTGACTATCACTTTCTGGTTCTTTAAAGATCTTTGACAAGTTGTGGCGCCCCTTTTTAGATTATCTACTGGCAAACTCTCTTGATTCTTAAACTGAGCAATAACATAGGAATAAAAACATATTTAGTTATTTATTTTTATATTTTTTTTATTTTTACCTTTTTATCATTATTGTTAATTATTAATTTTATTTATAATTATTAATATTTTTTGTTTGTTTGTTTTTTTTCTTAATGAGAAGTCAGAGGCTGTTGAGGGAGGGAAATGTTCAACTGGGGTTGGGGTAGGGTAAACACTAACATGGAAGGATAATTATAAAATGACTGTTATGGTTGATATTCCATGTAAAAACCCAATTAAAAAAATTTGAAATATAAACTTATTTACAATACAAATCTAATTATATCCGGTTGTTTGGTAACCCAAGCAAGTCTCTGAAACTATGTGAATAATAAAAACTTTATCATAATAAAATAAAAAATAAAAATAAGTTAACTTTCATTTAAGGTTTACAATGCAGATCTAATTAGACCTGCTTGATAAGTAAAACAAAGCAAGTCTCTCATACAATAATATCTCTACTCAAAGACAGAAAATATGACTTTACAAACTGCATTGTGCAGAAGTCGCATAAACAATTGCTTATTAGTTAATAATAGAACAGAATTAATATTAAAAGTGAATAAATATATAAAGGCTACGCAGTGGTGCAGTAGGTAGTGCTGTCGCCTCACAGCAAGAAGGTTGCTGGTTTGAGTCTCAGCTGGGTAGGCTAAATTGTCCGTAGTGTATGAGTGTGTGTGTGTGTGTGTGTGTGTGTGTGTTTCCCAGAGATGGGTTGTGGCTGGAAGGGCATCCACTGCGTAAAACATGTGCTGGATAAGTTGGCGGTTCATTCCGCTGTGGCGACCCCGGATTAAAAAAGGGACTAAGCCGAAAATGAATGAATGAATGAATGTATATATAAATACATACATACATACACATTTACATAATTAAATAAACAGACTTAATAATGGGTTAAAATAATTGAGGAAATCTGCATTTTTCTGTCCGTGCAAATTGTGTGTGTCGGTTTATTAAATTCAACTCAAGTATATTTGTATAGCACATTTCACAATAATTAATGGGTCACACTTTACAATAATAAGGTTTAATGTATAAGTTTAATGTATAAAAATATAAGTAGATGTATATGTAAATATACATGTATATATCTACTTAAATATAACATATTTAAATATATAAAAAATATTAAACATATGTATTAAAATATAAGTTTAATGTATTTACTGCCATGAACTAATTATGAACAATACAAGTACAGCATTTAATAATCATAGTTCAACATTTACTAATGCATTATTAACATCCACATTCATGCTTGTTAACATTAGTTAATGCACCGTGAGTCAACACCAACTAACAATGAACACTGTATTTTCATGAAGTAACATGAGCACAAACTGTTATAAATGTATTGTTCATATAAATAAATGCATTAACTAATGTAACCTTATTGTAAAGTGTTACCAAATATAGTAAAGCAGCTTCACATGTGCACATTCTTGCATTACAATCCAATTATTAGTTTCCACAACTTTATTAGTTACTAATAACTTTAACTAACTAGTAACAATAGTTTAGTAATAGCTTTTAACTATTATTATATGAGCAGAGTTAAGCTGCAGTTCTCCAGTGTACAGGTGCTGAATGGAGTGTGTTTGTGTATTAGGTGTTGTGATGTGGTGCAGCTCACCCGTGTCCAGCCCCTGCTTCAGCTCTTTGATCTTATTGGTGGATCCAGACTTCCTGTAGATGCCCTCGGTGTAGAGGCCGTGCATCTCGATGTAGTTGATCAGCTTCTCCACCACCAGCGGGACGCTTCGCTCATCACTCGTCAGACGAGACAACTCTACACCGAACTGCCGTGAAGACAGCTCTGGGTCAAACTGAGAACACACACATGGATGCATGCGCACACGCACACGCACACACACACACACACACACACACATACATACATATATACACACACACACACACACACATAAACATGACCACACACAACATGCGCACATACATACATACATACATACACAACACAGATGCACACACAAAACACACACATATATGGACACGTGCGCACACAAACAAAAACACAATGTGCACACACAAACAAACATGCACAATGCACACACACAAAAACATGATGTGCACACAAATAAAAAACAAACATGTGCAACAACACCACACACACACATACATACAAACACATGTACACACACACACAAAACACAATGTGCACGCGCACACATACAAACAAACATGTGCATCAATGCACACAGACACGTGCACACACACACACACACACACACACACACACACACACACACACAAAACACAATGTGTACACATTCAAACATGCACAACACGAACACACAAACGCATGCACACACACAAAAACACAATGTGCACACACATAAAAACAGACATGTGCATCAACGCACACACAGACATGTGCGCACACACACACACAAAAACACAAGGTGCACACACATAAAAACAAACATGTGCAACAATGCAAACACACATGCACAACAAAACGGACACATACACAACGCACAGACAGCAAACACACACACCATAAAGAAAAAACCACATGCACAAAACACAACACAACACACATGCACAACACACATACACAACACACAAACACACACAGAGAGAGACAGACAGACACAAATGAATTACATGAAAAAATGGCGCTCGAGAAACAAAGATTCTTGCTCAATGATGAGACACAAAAAACTGAAGATGGCAAACAACAGATTTAGGCCCAATCCCAATTCTATTTGTGTACTCCCTTGGGCCCTTACAACCGAGGGTTAAGGGGAAGGGCTTCAAAATGTACCCCTAAAATATTGACAGCACCTGCACACGTCATCACACGTCATCACCATCTCTTGCTTCATATGAGATCAGACGATGGAGACTGCTGGAGTGATTCAGTTGTGTTATATATTGGTGTTTATCTTCAGGAAATCACTGAAGGCACATATCATGTTATCATGACGATCTAATGTGCCAATAAGCTCATAACTGTACTGTGTATTTAACACAGTGGCCATATTCATCAATGTGAACACAAGAACACAGCATTAACATTATAGCAGACACTGTAAACAGCTCATTCCCTAACACTGGACTCTTCTGACAGGGTATTTGAGTGTCATCGAGTGTCAGAATGCTGTGCGACTGCTGTACAGGAGTTCTGATTAGGGATTATAGATCGCCAAATTTCATGACGGTAAAACATGAGTGCGGTTATGAATATATTAAAACATCGGCTTGTTTGTTGTAAGAATTTGTAATAATGACAAAAAATACTAATTAGTGGATCTCCTGACTTTCAGGTGCAGCGATCCCGCCGTTGTGGCTGGTGTGTTCTGGGAAATTTTCTTACTCCTTGGTTTCGAGTGTGTCCTGAATAATCTCTGTTTCAAGGGGTATCTAGCCCTTCCCCTTAGCCCTACACCTTTACGCTACAAAGAATTGGGACAATAAGGGGAAGGGCTAAGCAGTAGAATTGGGATTGGGCCTTATTATTATTTAATTTCTGTTTTCAAAAAGGGAAAACACAACAACTCAAAATGAAGAGAGAGTTTTCTTAAAACAATCAACATTACCTGCTAGCAGGAGCGCACAATAGCATTAAACTGAAAACACGGTTATTTTGCTCCCCTTACTGGCAGGATTTATTTTATTGATTTATTTTGTTGAATGTTTTAAGAAAACACTCACTTCATTTTGATCATTATTTTCTGAAAGCAAGACTTTCTAGGAAATTTAAGATGTTTTTTAAATATTTGGAAACGTGAAGAGCATTTTTTTGTAGTGTTTATTTGTAAAAATCTAATAACTTTGGATGAGTTAACATTTGAGACACACTTAAGCAAAACAGACAGATACAGCTCATTATTTAATGTCAAACACAATATTCAGAATGAAAGGACGGTCAATTTCACAGTGTCAGCATATGGGTTTCCATCAGCCTGCGCTAATGCATGTTTTCAAATCACGCATGAGAACCTGGAGAAAACCCACGAGGAGAACATGCAAACTGCCCCAGCTGGGGCTCGAACCAGTGACCTTTTTGCTGTGAGGCGACTGTGCTAACCACTGAGTCACTGTGTCGCCCCTTTTATTGTGCTTTCTAAATAAATTTGATTAGATTTAATGCAAATAACGGGACATGGAAAACACTTGTTGGATAAACTACACTTACAGGACTCCATTATGCTTGCCTTGTTTACTGTTGGTTGCTAGGTTACCAATACTACAGTGAGCCACTCTAACAATAATGGAGACGCAGCTAATTCGCATTTGGAATGAATTATTTTAGCTGTTTTAAAAGATTTTCTTCACATTAAGATGGAAACCCAGCTAATCGGTCAACCGTTATAATGAAGTGCTCTTACCTTCTTGCTGCATTTGGTGGTCATCCTCAGACAGCACTTCTTGTGGCACGCATAGCGACACACTGAAGAACAGTAGGAAGAAAAACAAGCACGTTTAACAGCCAATCAGACATGGAGCATCACATTTCCCTCTCAGATCTACAGGAATATGAAACTGAGAGACTGTTCTCAATCAGGTCCAGGAGAAAACTGAGGGATTTATGGTGGGAAAATCAAATTAAGCTGCTCTCAGACCAGCAGACAGACACTTAGAGACTGAATATGGGAAAAGAGAAACTGATATACACTACACGAATGCTACAATGACTTATTATTAATATACTATTAAAGTTTTTGTTTTTATTTTAATTACTTTACATTGTTTTTGTTTTAATTTATTGTTATTCGCATTTTAAGTTTTAATATTTTTTTTATTTCAGCCTTTTTGTATAATATTGTAGTTTTTAGCCTTAGTTTATTTAGCCATTTATTTTATTTCATTATTTTCATTTAATTTATTGCAAATAATTAGATTAACAATAAAGTTTTTGCCCAATTTTAACCCATATATATTATATAACCTATATATAATTTTTCTGATACTGCTATATCTTTTTCAATGTTAAATAAAATTGCTCATAAAATATTAGAAATATTAGATGAGATAATTTTGTCATTTAATGTGACCAAAACACATATAACTTGAAAATATAAATTGGTATATTGCTTTTAAGAAAATGCTTCAATATAATATTAATAATAATATTACATTTAATTTATGACGCTTTATATTCAGACAGAATCTTAAAATAATACATGTAAAAACAAATAAAAAAGTGCTAAAAATTAGTCAAAGGATCATCTAAAATTCCACAGTTAAAATATAAGAGCCTTAAAACATCCGTGTCCTTGATAAAAAAAAGGCATTATTTATAGTTTTTTACAAACACATGAACATTTAAAATAATTCCCGAAAATAGATATTCTTCAAGTCAAATTAGCAGTATTTGGTACTTCTGTAGTTACAGAACATAACAAAAGGATGGAGTAAATCAGTGCTGAATGCCTTTATCAGTCATTCTAATGTTATGAATGACTTGGTTGATTAAACTGACAGAGCTGAACTCACGTTTGCAGACGCAGGCTTTGTCCATCATCCAGATGAGAGATGAACAGAACTCGCAGTAGGTCGGGATGCTGTACTGCGTGGATTTAAAGATGTGGCCCATGTGCTCTTCCACCTGCAGAGGGCAGCAGAGCACTCAACATTTCAACACTGTTACAGTGTGGCTGGATAGTAGAGGATTAATTATAACCTGGATTATACATCTAATTACAGTAAACTACTTTTTAAAATACTCTTAATCAGATTACAGTTACTTTTTATGGATTATGGCTTATGGATTACATTATGGCAGCAAGTTGTTCACAACTCATTGATTTCTGCTCAGTTCCTTTTTTATGTCTATTTTTAATAAGCCTGCTGCTGCTTGAATACATTTGCGATATATTAAGGTTTTTTAGAAGAGAGATTTTATAACTTCGATACTGTTATACAATCCAAATTCAAAATTAGTCTGATTGCTACCATAAAAGTAGTCTAAATGTTACAATAAAGTAATCCAAAAGTACACAGACTGTGTTACTTTAAAACTAATCTAAATGCTATCATAAGTAATCTAAATGTAATCCAAAATAGGCAGATTGTGTTACTATAAAAGTAATCTCAATGTATCCATGAAAGTAACCTAAATGTAATCCAAAATAGGCAGATTATGGTACCATAAAAGTAATCTAAATGTAATCCAAAAGTATGCAGATTATTACTATAAAAGTAATCTTAATGTAACCATGAAAGTAATCTAAATGTAATCCAAAAGTATGCAGATTATGATACCATAAAAGCAATCTAAATGTAATCCAAAAGTATGCAGATTATGATACCATAAAAGCAATCTAAATGTAATCCAAAAGTAGGCAGATTATAACTATAAAAGTACTCTCAATGTTACCATAAACGTAATCTAAATGTAATCCAAAATAGGCAGATTGTGTTACTATAAAAGTAATCTCAATGTTACCATAAACATAATCTAAATGTAATCCAAAATAGGCAGATTGTGTTACAATAAAAGTAATCTCAATGATACTATAAAAGTAATCTAAATGTAATCCAAAAGTATGCAGATTATGGTACCATAAAAGTAATCTAAATGTAATCCAAAATGCAATTGATTACAATTAATAAGTAATCCATCCAGCTCTGCTAACCAAGTATACATAAGACATAAAACACCCGAATAATGCTATAAATGTAAATAAGACTGACTGTGTCTGATTCCTTCTTCCTCCTCTTCTTTCTCTCAGGTTTAGGAGCCTGAAAACAAAAGAGAAGAGTCTCAGAAGACTTATTTGGGTGTGTGTGGGGTGTTTGGATGTGTGGATGTTTTACCTTACTGATGGTTCCGTCCATTGGCTTGTATTCGGTCATGAACTCATCCAGAAAGACTTTGAACGTGTTGACCCAGACTTTAACAGGAGACTCGCTCCAGTCTCTCTGCTCCAGACGCATGCTCTTCTCCAGAATGTGCTCGAACAGAGCGTAGAGATCTTTATAGCGAATGCTCCTGCCGTCATCCATCTGAAAGGGACACATATTATATTGGAAATTTTGAGCATAAGATCCAGTTTTAAATTAATTACTCACATAATTATTTATGTCGTTCCAAACCTATAAGACCTTTAATCATCTTCAAACTCAAATTACGATTCTTTTAGGCATAAGCAATACCACATTTTTAATGCGTTATGATACCAATATTTATTTTATTAATGTGAGTGAATTAATATTTTTAAAATTGCAAATGTTTTTTTTTTAAATGTTAATTTTTTAAATAGGACTAATCCTGTAGGACTAATAATTGTTTATATACATACATATATATATAATTTTTTTATGTTCTCATGCCAACTTGCTACCACATAAACGGGAGCATGCAACACTAGTCCCGCCTCCGAGTTCTTCTGATTGGTCCACTGCTCTGGAAGTGACAGTATGGCAAATTAATTTTTCATTATGCATATTCAAAACGGACAGCAAAAGCAAGTACTGGAGATTTGTTATTATTCCTGTAGTTCCGTACTGAACTGTGACAGCAAAACAGAGGTATGCACCAAACCGTGACTCCAGTATACTGTTACACCCCTCAATACGAAAACAGTCGATAAATTTCATTTATTTTTGAAGATGAATGAAGGTCTAATGGGTTTCCACGACATGAGGGTGAATAGTTAATTATTAAATTGACAGTATTTTCATTTTAGAGTGACCTAAGGCTTGATTATAAGTCAGTGTACAGTTCTGGATGTTAGAAACTCACAGCCAGAGCAGTAGAGTATGAGTTGAAGATATTGAGGCGAAACTCCTTCAGGGCTTTCTTGAACACCACGTCCACAGCAGTGTCTTTCTGTCCATCTTCAGCATCCAGATCACTGATCTACAACACATCAGAAAACAGATAGTGCAGATTTGAGCAAATATGATGATACTTCCTGCTTTAAATAAGCTTTCATTAAACAGTAAGCTCCCTGTTAAACAGAAATTTGGGACAATATAAAAGCAGGAGGGCTAATAGTTCTGACTTCAACTGTATATGTATGAAGGAATATTAATGTACATATGTAGGAATGCAGGTTCTACCTTCTTCATGAGGAAGTCGTTCATGCTGCGGTAGTCTGCGGTGCTGGTGAGGATGTGCAGAGCGTCGTTCTGCCAGGCGGTGGACTCGAGGGAAACGCTGCTGATCTTTAGACTGCGCCGCCTCTTCATCGACATCATGCCCAGCATCGGCTCGCGGTTCTCCTTGCTGTCGCGCCTGCGCTCAGACACACCTGCATGCTCTGGGCTTCCTGGAGGAGAGTCTGGGGCACAGAGAAGACATGTTAGAAACAGGTCTACATGGAGAGACATTTATTAATGCGGGAAAACACACCATTTCTCCTGTCGGTGAGCTCTGAGTCTGCGGAGCGCCCCCTGCTGGATATCTTTTTATCTCCATGTTTGCTCTTACTCCAGAAGCGCATTTTGCCTCTCACCCTATAGAGAACAAAGTATGGATGACATGACATTTTCATGCACTGATTGATTACAAAAACAAACAAAAAAAACTCTAGACATGGAACAAAATATTGATGCATGGTGAATTGAATAATCATTCTGCAAGGATTGTGAGAGCACATAGAGCATCGTTTGCTTATAATAACTTGCCTTGAGCACCATCTACTGCTCAAAACTAGCCTAGAGCATTATCTACTAATGAAAACTAGCCTGGACAGCAGTTTAGAACTAGTCTAGAGCACCGTCTGCTCCTAAACACTACGCTTTTTGCTGTTCAAAACTAGCCTAGAGCACCATCTGATCATCTTCAAAAGTGCCATCTGCTGATTAAACTAGTCTAGAGTGCCGTCTGTTGTATAAAACTAGCCTAGAGAGCGGTTTGAAACTAGCCTTGAGCAGCGTTTGCTGTTAAAACTACCCTACAGCACCATCTGTTGTTCAAACTAGCCTAGACAGAGTTTAAAACTAGCCTAGAGCACCATCTGATATTCAAAACTAGCCTAGAGAGAGTTTAAAACTAGCCTAGAGCACCGTCTGCTGATCAAAACTAGCCTAGAGTGCCATCTGCTGTTAAAAACTAGCCTAGAGAGAGTTTAAAACTAGCCTAGAGCACCATCTGCTGTAATACATAGCCTAGAGCGCAATCTTCTGTTAAAACACTAGCCTATAGAGCTGTTTAAAACTAGCCTAGAGCACAGTCTGCTAACCAAAACTAGCCTGGAGCACCATCTGCAAAACTACCCTAGAGAGTGGTTTAAAACTAGCCTAGAGTGTCATCTGCTGTCAAAAACTAGCCCAGAGTACCGTCTGCTGTTTAAAACTACCCTAGAGAGCGGTTTAAAACTAGCCTAGAGCGTCATCTGCTGTAAAAAACTAGCCTAGAGTGCCACCTGCTGTAAAAAAAAAACTAGCCTAGAGCTCCATCTGCTGTAAAAAAAACTAGCCTAGAGCTCCATCTGCTGTAAAACAAAATAGCCTAGAGCACCATCTGCTGTTCAAAACTAACCTAGAGCACCATCTGCTGTTAAAAACAAGCCTAGAGCACCATCTGCTGTTAAAAACAAGCATAGAGCACCATCTGCTATTCAAAACTAGCCTAGAAAGCTGTTTAAAACTAGCCTAGAACGCCGTCTGCTGTAAAAAAAACTAACGAACAGCTTTATCTGCTGTAAAAAAAAAAAAAGCGTAGAGCGCCATCTGCTGTTCAAAACAAGCCTGGAGCACCATTTGCTGTTAAAAACTAGCCTAAAGCGCTATCTGCTGTTCAAAACTAGCCTAGAGCGCCGTCTGCTGTAAAAAAAACTAGCTTAGCGTATGTCTGTTTTGATTTTTACAATAGTAACATATTACTCTGTGCAGTTATATCACATCAGCAAGAAAGACTTTTTTAGACACAATATTTTATTTTTATTCTGATTGGCCAGTTTAAATAGGTCAGCTAGTAGCAGGAATGAGCCGCCTCTGACCTGCTGTCTGTCTGAGACATGGACTTCCTGAGCGAATCCATTTTCCCAAGATCCCCTGAGGACATGGTCTTCTGGATCCTCTTCTGCTCCTTCTGAGACGACTGGAGACGGGAAGCAAACACAAAACTCGCTCAGGCCAGAATCAGACTTTATAAACACTGAAGCACTTCAGAAGGCTATCAGATTTCCAAGAATATACAGCTTAACCGTGCCGTGACACCAAACCCACTCACCGTCAATATTAGAGAATAGAGTATTTGAGAAAAGAGAGTGAGTGATTGAGTGAGTGATCCCATTAATTCTGTGTTAATTCTAGTCACGTGCGTGTCCACTTCCAATATTCATCAAGTTATTAGAAGTAAACAGATCCAGTGGAGGAAAACTTCACATTCAAGAACAGACACCCGAAATACTTGAAAGGAAAGTGTTTGGTTAATCTCGACCTCATCCAGTCAGGTTTATTAGTCTTCTACAGGATTAGTCCTATTTTTTGAAGATGGTCAGATTTGGTTATGAGGGAGGTCAACGGTTGTGGTCAGTCAAGAGGCGTTTGGATGCTTGCACACTGACCAAACTTTAGATTTAGATATTTTAGCCCACATTCTGTCATCATTTACTCAACAGAATGTTGTTCTGAATATCTAGGTTTTAGAGTTGAAATAACTAGCCAACCTTATATAAACATGTTCTTGTTGTTGAGGTCTTCTGATCACAGTTGATATAATATAATGGCCTGCAATAACAGAGTTTGTTCAGTGGGGTGCTGTAGTGCAAGACTATACTTCAGCTTTCCTGAATATCAGCCAACAGAAGATACTTATGAAAATATGACAGACTTAATAATAAATCCTGACAATCTAGATCAGGGGTGCCAAACTTGGTCCTGGAGGCTTGTGTCCTGCAGAGTTTAGCTCCAACTTGCCTCAACACACCGGCCCAGGATGTTTCTAGTATCCCTATAAGAGCTTGATTAGCTGGCCCAGGTGTGTCTGATTGGGCTTGGAACTAAACTATGAAGAACACCGGCCATCCAGGACAGAGTTTGGGCACTCCTGATCTAGTAGGTTCTGCTGGAGAACACATGATGTGTGGTTGGATCAGTGTGCATAGCTCCGATCCGGAGGGAGCGCAGTTGTTCCTGCTCTGGGTTTTACCATCTCGGAGTCGCTGTGGAAGACGCAGTCGATGTCAGGGGAACTGGGGGAGTGTGGGGGCCGGGTGCAAGAGAGCACAGGTGTGTCCTCATATTCATCATCCTCATCTTCCTCACAATCAGCCTCTGTGCTGCAGGCTCGGCTGAGGAAATCGGAGCGCGTCCTGGCCATACGAGCTTTCTTTTTACAACCAGCTCTGGTCACCTGATCGTTCACATTGATGATGTCAAGACAAAACTCCTGCTGGACCTGAAAGTTGCATCCATCCTTCTGTCCAACAATCCATCATTCATCCATCCAACAACCAATCCATCTGTCCTTCCAACCATTATTATTCCACCTATTCATCTAACCATTCACCAATCAATTCATCCATCTATTTCCCCACCCACCTGTCTGTCCATAAACCAACCCACCCACCAATCAATCCAACCTTCCAATTCACCTTTCCATAGATCCAGTCACCTATCCATCAAGTCATCCTTACACCATCCATCCACCCACCTAACATTCGAACCGTCCGTTCATCCATACACCCATCCATCCATTCAGCTATCAATCATCCACCCACACACTCATTAAATCCACTTTCTCATCCATCCATACATCCATTCATTAACCTATCCATCCTTCCACCAATTCATTATCCACCTATCCATCTGTCTATCCAACCACCCACCCACCTTTCAGTCCATACACCCATCCATCCATCAATCCATACACCCATCCATCCATCAATCCATCCATCCCTAAACCCATCCACTGGTGTAAAAATACTTTTTTCCCCACAGAAAATATCCATTTTGTAACGAATAATCCTGAACAAATAAGGTTTGTCTGTCGTTTGTCTGCCACTCACATCTCTGTTCTTCAATGATCTGAATCCTGCTTCTCTTTGGATCGCCAATGACCGTTCCTGATTCACCAGGTCTTTATCCGACCTGAAAAACACAGCAAAACAGCTTTCTCAGACTGGACCACACGATCGCAATCCAGCACTTCAGCTACAGCAACATCTTCTAAATATCAGTAGACACATGAACTCACTTGGAGAAGGTGAGTCGGCTGCGTTTGGGGGGGAAGGCCACATTCGCTGCTGTCTCCTTCATGCTTATGCTGATACTCTGAGAAACAAACTTCTTCTGAACATCAGCTTTGGGCTCTGAAGGCTCTTCGTTTGACGCCGCACTCCTCAAGTCCAGCTGGAGGGGTTTGGAGGAAACCGAAAATGAAGAACCAGTGTCCAGCTCATGATTGGTTCGAGGTTCAGGAATGATTGAACAATCCGAAGCAGATTCTCCATTGGAGAGCGGGACGTCCTGAGCTTCTAGTGTTTGCAGACTGCTCCGGTCAACAGGGTTTTCCTTCTGCATGCTGATGATGACCACCACAGACTCCTTCTTCTCTCGGATCTGCTTGGCACGGTTTGGCGTTTGTGGCGCACTATTAATCGGACTCCCGTCTTCATCAGGGATGTAGAAATGGGGTTTGAAGGATGCAGCCGGACTTGTTTGGTTGACCTCCATTGGTTCGGATTTGGAAAGTTCAAGTTTTGCTGAGGCTGAATCCTCGTTTTCAAGGAGCTCAAAGCTTTCTTGGCTATCAGTGGAGGCTTGATGAGGAGGATGATGTTTGGACGGAGGGATCTGAGCGTCTTCTGTGTTTGATCCGGATCGGACTTTGAGCAGCTCTAAACTGAACGTGGCTTGTTCGAGTTCTCGTTGCCTCCTGCTTTCTCTTTTGTTTCGGCTCTTCAGAGTGCTGTCGTCTACAGCTTTTGGAGGAGGATCGGTGGTCTGCTTTTCCCAAACCTCCTCCAGCTTCTCTGCTTCTTCTGTGTTTTGGTGTAAACTCTTGGTCACAGTGCTTGGATGCTTGCTTTGCTCTCTACATTGTTGCTCTCTCAGAATTCGGCACCTTAAAAAGAAACAAAAAAGCACAATTTTAATACTTTACAAAATATTGAACCAATTTCAGACACAATACGCAGTAAAACACATGACAATCCTTGTAATTTATGACGATTTATTAAGATAATGCTCACGTTCAACCTACACGACTTTAAACATGGGCAGATCGCTGTGCCGTTCACGCTACATGACTTGATTTTGTGTCTTTAAATCGCTGTGGTGTTCACACTACGAGACACTACGTGAATGATCCACAAGAGGGGGGTCACACACTACATGATCTGTCAACAACTCGCTCGCCAACAGCGGAAAATTGGAGCAGAAGCCAAATTATGTTGAAGAGTGTTACCGTTGTCGACTCTGCTGCCCCCTGCAGGCGGCTTGTAGTGTGACGGCGGCACGGCGCTGCTGCAGAAAGCTCCGCCGGTGTGTGCGTGTCCTCCAGACGGCCTGAATGAGCGTCGCCGCTGTGTTACGTGTGTTCAGGACTCTCCTCCAGCACCTCTGGATGATCAGTACAGCTCTCCTCTGCTGCAGGTACAGACGTCTCGCTCTGAAGCCTCTCCAGACGGCCTGAAGACGCAGTGCTGCCCCCTGCTGGAGCTCCAGCGCACACACCGACCCGTCAGCCTGAGATATACAGCTACGCCACCAGCGCTGAGGTCAGAAAACACACACAATACAGCATACTGAGGAAAACTGAACTGATAAAGTGGAGATTATTCATTACTAAATTCAACAGATAGGAGCACTTCCTTGATTGTATTTACTATTTATTACATACATATGCATTTAAACAAATCATTACTGCATAGAAATGCAATTATTAGATGAATAATAAAGTGTATTTATAGATAATTAAAAATTATAATTACTTAAATACATCATTTAAATGATTATCATTTCTTTTAAAATGCAACGTTTGATATATTAATACATAATGTTAATAATATACTTATTTAATATACAAGTATAATATATAAGCATATACTTATTTACTAACTATTTAATGGAGATTGCTTTATTTATTATCCTGCCGCTTTATAAAATCTATAAGGCACGTAACACTACAGTGAGTTAACCACGTCTGTTTTTAAATGCTTGTGTTTTTATGGATTAATTGTTGTAATGTCATGTTAATGCCCAGTAACTGCTTCACTATACAGTAGGCAACACCTGAAGTGGATCAAAACCTTTCAACAAAACTGTCCTAAAACTATATACAACATCCATTACTGTCTGAGGACAATTTCAATCCACTTGAAATGTTGACTAATGTATAAATATAGTAAGAAATCTGAGTGTTTTTAAATAATTTAAGACTAGTCTATGTGTTTAGTGCTGTTAAATAATTAATTAAGATTAATCACATTCACAATAAGCTTGTATTTACATCATTTGTATTTTTATAGTTGAAGTCAAAATTATTCAACGCCTTGTTTATTTTTTTCCCCAAATTCTGTTTAACAGAAAGCAGATTTCTTCAGCACATTTCTAATCATAATAGTGTTAATAACTCATCTCTAATTACTGATTTATTTTCTCTTTGCCATGATGACAGCACATAATATTAGACTAGATATTCTTCAAGACACTTCTATACAGCTTCAAGTGATGTGTAAAGGCGTCACTAGGGTAATTAGGGTAAAGTTAGGGTAATTAGGCAAGTCATTGTATAACGAGGGTTTGTTCTGTAGACTATCAAAAACAAATATAGCTTAAAGGGGCGAATAATATTGAGCTTAAAATGCTGTTTAAACAATTAAAAACTGCTTTCATTCTAGCCAAAATAAAACAAATAAGACTTTCTCCAGAAGAACAAATATTATCAGACATACTGTAAACATTTCCTGAATCTGTTCAACATCATTTGGGAAATATTTAAACAAAAAAAAAAACGTTAAAAGGGGGGTGAATTATTCTGACTTTGACTATATATACACATGCAACATCTTGTATTATCTTGTAAAGGATGGGTTTGTTAGTGGTGCACATGTTGAAAAACCCAATGAAGAAATAACTGAATAATGAGAAGTGACAGGAAGCTCCGCACACATGCATCTTATCAAAGCTGTGTTTAGCGTAAGCTGCTGTGTGTGGAGCGCCGCATGTTTGCCTTTGTGTTTGTGAGAATCGAGTGAGTTTCATGTCTCTCTGACATGAAAGAGCCGCCTTGTTTTGAAGGAGGAATGGAGACGTTCAGCTCCAGAAAACACTCCACAAACAGCTTATAAAACACCAGCGCCAGCTGAAAAACACCTCAGAGAAGACACATCTTCATCTCTGAGACACGTCTGACAGAGACATGCAGTTTCTGGAGCTTTGTGATGCTGCAGACGCGAATAAACCCGGGTGTTTTTCTACAGGTCTGAGTCTGCAGTTTTAAATGAAGCATTTTAATCAGAGAGATGTCAATATAGAGATCAATCTGTCTATCAGCAGAAAACAAAATGAGTCGACTTTTTAGTCTCAATAATCAAGTACAATTAATATTTCAATCATCATCATCATCATCATCATCATCCATGATTGAGTGTGAATTATGAGCGTGTTTTCTGCTGTGAACGTGTCGATCTGAGGGATGGTTTATTTGGTTGTTTTGATCTGGGAATGTGAGCGTTCTCCTGGCAGACGTTCACTGCTCTTGTTTTTGTTGGTCTGAATCCTGCAGGAAGATCCAGAGAAAACAACAGCAGAGAACTGAACTCCACACCATTATTAAACACAGCTGCATCTATAGCGGCGTACAGTACATGTTAAACGAGCAGAAATCACTTCTATAACAGGTTTAAACCCAGATGTGTGTCAGCAGCGTGTCAATATCTCCAGCCTCTAATGGTTAAACATGTATTAATAGTGTTGTTTATAGTCAGACTTGATGAATGAAACACTTTGATTGACATTCCCCCTTTGTATGTGTCATCAGACAGGCCCCGCCCACTAGTGCCCATCTCTCTCTCATTAGCATAGGACATTAGTCCTGCTTTAAATCTGCCACTATGCTGACACACAGGCATTTGTAGCTCCACCCTCTTCTGAAAAGAGCACAACCTCATTTGCATTTAAAGCGACAGTCACCAGAACACCACAATTAGGATCAAAGCCTGAAAGGGTCAGTTTCAGAGAGCGGGAGAACAGTATCTGTGTGCTGTTTTGAGCTCAAGCTTCACTACAGACACCAGAGATGCATTTTACATCTGATTAAAAGGGGCAGAGTAGGTCTTCTTTAATTATAGAAGTAAGAAAGAAAGCGTAGAAGCACATGAGTGTGAGTAAAGGATGTGGAACTGTTGATTTGTGTGTACCTGTATGAGGCGCGCGGCTCGTCTCTGCCTGCAGAAGTGCTTTCTGTCCCTCTGCGTCCGGAAGCTTCTCTGCAGGCAGACGATCCTCCTGAGCACCTCCTGATGGAGCTCGTCCTGCAGCCGCTGCCGGAGCCGCTCATGCAGGAACACCTGCCACACACACACACACACACACACACACACACACACATCTCACAATACACTTCACAGGTGTCTTAGGGCCAGGACACACCAACCCGACGGTCGGCTGTTTGGTTTTGTTGGTCCAGTTGGTGTGTTTCATATGTTGTTTTATACATCAGCTCTCGTCAGGTTGACGTCGAAGCTTATTGACCCAACCCCAGCATTGGCTGAACAGAGCGCTCTGATTGGTTATCAAGCAACGAATCAGAGCACGAGTGTGTCATGGTTAAGTGATGTAGCAAGTAAACAGTTCAAGTCATGAAGAGGCCGGCTGTGTGTTCGCTACTTTTGTCAGATATTTGCAAACGATATGGATTATTAGATTATCAGACGCATGACGAGAGAGAGGGCGAGGCAGTGGCGCAGTAGGTAGTGCTGTCGCCTCACAGCAAGAAGGTCGCTGGTTTGAACCTCGGCTCAGTTGGCATTTCTGTGTGGAGTTTGCTTGTCCTCCGGGTGCTCCGGTTTCCCCCACAGTCCAAACACATGCGGTACAGGAGAATTGGGTAGGCTAAATTGTCCGTAGTGCATGAGTGTGTGTGTGAATGTGTGTGTGGATGTTTCCCAGAAATGGGTTGCGGCTGGAAGGGCATCCGCTGCGTAAAAACTTGCTGAATAACTTGGCGGTTCATTCGGCCGTGGCGACCCTGGATTAATAAAGGGACTAAGCCGACAAGAAAATGAATGAATGAATGACGAGAGGGAATCCCTCCCCAGTGAAGGACGATTACTGGAATAACACCGCTTTGTGCACGCTTTGTGAACATCAGAAGTTTGGTTTCGCTTTGTGGAACTAAAAATAGATAGCGCCCGCAGCTGGAGCTGAAATACACGTCCTCTAACAGCAGGGGTGTCCAAACTCAGTCCTGGAGGGCTGGTGTCCTGCAAAGTTTAGCTCCAACCCTAATCAAACACACCTGGGCCAGCTAATCAAGCTCATACCAGGCTTTCTAGAAACAGCATTGGAGGTGTGTTGAGGCAAGTATGAGCATGTATTTATTTAAATTACTTCTAATTTACTAATGAAACATGGTGAAGTGTTCAGTGTTTTGAGGGACATTTAGTGTATAGACTTTAGTTGGATGGTTTCAGTGGTTGGGTCAAAGTGTTCAAACTATGCGTCTAATTTGACTTTACTTCTAGACTATATATAGATACAACCAGCTTACAGCTTACAGTGTCTATCAGTCCTCTAGATCTGCCAGTTCCAGACTGTTGAATGAATAGACTGATTGGTGTGATTATGCATTCATAATGGTATGAACCATTATAGGGGTGGTCAGTGTGTCTCTTACCATACTGCGGCCCACTTGATAGCCGCTGGGCTCCAAGTCTGCACTGCGCAGGAACTCTCGGATGCCCATCTGACTGGCACTGAATCCAGCCGGCAGCAGAACGTGGAAATGATGAGCAAAATCCTGGAGAAACACACAACGGCTGACTCAGAGAGACGTGAATCATCTTTAAACTAATCTTTTCCCGAACACACACTGTATAAACAGCTCTTTTAAAACATGGCAACGTCAATTTCTGAAAAGGGCTGATTGAGCTTTAAATTGAATGTGATCAGTGATTTAGGACATTTTCAACACTGACCTGAACTGAATCAAAAATGATCAGGTTTACAATCGAAAACTGCAACACTGACACTGAACTGAATCATTCATACATGATTAAGTTTACAACACTGACAGTTACTGAACTGAATCAAAAATGAACCAAATCAAATTTATAAATGATGAATTTTGCAAATGCCATTAATTATGAAGGTGATTTGGATCACTTACTGAACTGAATCAGATCCATAACTGATGAAATATGCAACACTGACACTTACTGAACTGAACCAGACGTCAAAAATGTTTCAGTTTTCATTAATTATAAACTGAATGCAGACACTTGCTGAACTCAATCAGAAATGAACTTATCAAGATTCACGATTGATTCATACTGATGCTTAAAGGAATGAAAACTGAACTGAATCAGGTACTTAATTAATGAGAGTTGCAACACTTACTGAACTGAATCAGAAGTTAACAGTGTTTCAGTTTAATAATTATGAATCAAATGCAGACACTTGCTAAACTGAATCAGAACTGAACTGAATCAGTTTCGTGATTCATGAACATATTAGAACAACTACTAAACTGAGACATTTGATTCATAATTGATTCACTTTGCAACATTGACACTTGCTGAATCAAAATGAATCAGAAGGTTGATTCAGTTCTTTTATTATTAATTAAATGTTACATAGTTTAGTAATGAATCAAGAATCAAGAGGTGATTTAGTTGAGTTCAATAGATTCTTTTCATTCATCAGCATCTTAACTCCTTGAAAGTTGCTTATATTTTGATCTTTTTAAATAATGTATGAATATTTATACGCATTTATGTATATATTATATCATCTTTGCATCAAATTACAAAAAACTGAAAGAACACATGTGTAATGCAGTGTGTATGGGGGCAGGACAGTAAATCTGCCATTATCAGTCTCACACTGTTGTTTTCCTCTTTCTGAAAGTCTTGATAATGCCATCCTGGAGCTTTTCTGCTATAATTTTAGCAAATAGGATTGTAGAATGATGATTTGTTGTGCTATCCCAATCACTGACCACTTCTGCTGCTGAGAAACACACTTAGTGATGTGATGTGTGTTTGCTGACCTTAAAGCTGTACTTGACGCTGTATCCAGACTGTCGTATCCTGACGGTCTCCAACATGCCGGTGTACCTGAGCTGTCGCAGCACCAGCGCATCATTGAAGCGCAGAGGAAGCTGTGAGAGAACTACAGTTAAACATCTCCTGTAGATCTGCTGATGCAGTGATGACAGTGCAGAGGCGATACACACCTTCTCTGCATTAGAGCGGATGCACTTGACGAAGTACGGCTCCGACTGCCCCAGCGTCTCCATCAGCTTATTCAGAGAAACCTGACACAAGAGCACATGTCAGCGCTGCGAGTCTCCAAATGTACTTCAGGTTTTAACATGGCACTGTTGTTCTAGTTTAAGACTTTAATTTTGCTTTGCTGATCTCCTGCTGTAGCGTCACATCCATCCATGGTCAAAACACACACACACACACACACACACGTTCTTATTATATAGCATCAGCTCTATTATCAGTGTTTGAAATGCTTGTTCTCAGTGCACCTGGCCTTCCCAAGAGCATACTCAGATGACCATACTATGATCTGATTGGTCAGTCAGCATTACTCTGCTCTGATTGGTCAGATGATTAGATTGCCCAGCTCTTATTGGTCAGGCGACTCTAACTTGTTCTGATTGGTCAGATGGTTCTACTTTGCTCTGAATGGTCTAATGGCCAGACTCTTTTTTGATTGGTCAGATTTCCATATTCTGTTCTGATTAGTCAGATTGCTTTGCTGTGCACTGATTGGTCTGATGAGCATACTTTACTCTGATTGGTCAGATGCTTATATGGATTAACTCTACTCTGATTGGTCAGATGGCTCAACTCTGCTCTGAATGGTTAGATTGCCTTACTCTGACTGGTCAGCTGGCCATACTCTGCTCTGATTGGTTAGATTGCCCTACTCTGACTGGTCAGCTGGCCATACTCTGCTCTGATTGGTCAGATGGCCACACTCTGCTCTGTTTGGTCAGATGACCACACTCTGCTCTGATTGATCAGATGGCCATACTCGGCTCTGATTGGTCAGATGACCACACTCTGCTCTGATTGATCAGATGGCCATACTCGGCTCTGATTGGTCAGATGGCCACACTCTGCTCTGATTGGTCAGATGGCCACACTCTGCTCTGATTGGTCAGATGGCCACACTCTGCTGATTGGTCAGATAGCCACACTCTGCTCTGATTTATCAGATTTCCCTATTGTGACTGGTCAGATGGTCATTCTCTGCTCTGATTGGTCAAATTGGCCTATTCTGACTGGTCAGATGGCCATTCTCTGCTCTGATTGGTCAGATGGCCACACTCTGCTCTGATTGGTCAGATGGCGACACTCTGCTCTGATTGGTCAGATGACCACACTCTGCTCTGATTGGTCAGATTTCCCTATTGTGACTGGTCAGATGGCCATTCTCTGCTCTGATTGGTCAGATAGCCACACTCTGCTCTGATTGGTCAAATTGCCCTATTCTGACTGGTCAGATGGCCATTCTCTGCTCTGATTGGTCAGATGGCTTTACTCTGCTCTGATTGGTCAGATGGCGACACTGCTCTGATTGGTCAGATGACCACACTCTGCTCTGATTGGTCAGATTTCCCTATTGTGACTGGTCAGATGGCCATTCTCTACTCTGATTGGTCAGATAGCCACACTCTGCTCTGATTGGTCAAATTGCCCTATTCTGACTGGTCAGATGGCCATTCTCTGCTCTGACTGGTCGGATGGCTTTACTCTGCTCTGATTGGTCAGATGGCGACACTCTGCTCTGATTGGTCAGATGACCACACTCTAATTTATTTGATCAGATGTCTCTTCTCTGCTCTGCTCTGATTGGCCTGATTGCCCTACTCTGCTCTGATTGGTCAGATGGCCACACTCTGCTTTAATTGATCGGATGGCCATACTCTGCTCTGAGTGGTCTGATGTCCATACTCTGCTCTGATTGGTCTACTGCTGTCTGACAGGTAACAGGTGTGTTTCTCTCACGTTGAACTGTGCGCTGATGCTGGGCGGTTTCTTCTTCTTGTGCAGATGCAGCAGTGATTTAGTGATGCGGTCGTGGAGCGTCAGACTGCTCAGATACTTCAGAGACTTCACATCCAGCAAGTGCTGCACACACACCAAAACAGACAACGATTATACAGTATATATCATGACTACTGTCTGCATTTGAGAGACATATACATTTAAGAAACAACCAACACTGAGTATTTCACACATTCAAGTCGTGAGGTTTACCTTAGGGAGGCTGGGTTTGGGCTTGTAGTTCTTGTTTCTCCTTCAGAAAAACAGAGTTAGTCTGTACTGTCCAACACAGAGTGACTTTAAGCTTTTGTTTATTCGTTTATCTGAGACTCACATGAGGATTCCCTGCGCTCGCTCCAGCAGACGGTTGTTGACGGAGTTGACGAAGATTCCCTCGTCTTCATGAGCGAACGAGGAGACGCGCTCAGACCTCCAGCCACGACCATTACTGAGACAGACAATAATATTAATAAATGAATAAATGAAATACATTACATGCATAAACAGCAAATAAAATGCAGAAAATATGCAAATTGTTTTTAATGGAAATTAATGTGTGTGTACATAATTATGTATGTGTGTTCATAAATGAGTATTTCATTTTTCACTGAGTACATTACCTTGGTCAATAATGTTTATAATGAATTAAACAATTGGAGTTATTCATTACAAATGATTTATAAAATAATATTAAAATAATAGGGTATATGTGGAGCTCTTCCCATACTGATAACCCTCCGGTGAACGCTTAATGTGACCTTTTTTCCATTTTATACGCTTCCTTTAACAGCATCGATGTTGTAATGTAATCAAAATACAATCAGTTAAATAGACTTTGGCATTCATTTAGTTGCTCAAATGTAAAACAAGTTAAAAAACAGTTTAAATTAAATCCATTATATACACTATATCCTGGACCAGGCCGTATCCTGAGCAGCTGCTGTGGTGGTCATGGAGGAGTGGAGAGCATGAGACTGATTCCTGCGCTCCAGGGACAGACGAGTCTTCGCTGAGGTCCAGCTTCCAGCCTCCGGCGCCTAGACTGCAGCTCTGCACAAGACGTTTGGCCAGTGGAGAAATGGTCGAACCCAACTGAGTCTGATTTCTCTTGATGTTTTTTAATTCTTCACTTTTGCCAAGTGGTGAAGTTTTCTTCCCTCGCCACTGTCGCCACTGGCTTGCATGGATCAGGATCAGTAGAGCTGTGCATGGATGGATTTGCTCTTCAGTGTTTGGACTCTCAGTAGTGACTATTGAACTGAACTTTAACTCTGAAAACTGAACTGACGCTGTTTCAATCGACTATGATCTTCTATGTGAAGCTGTGTACATTGTAAAAGCGCTATACAAATAAAGGTGAATTCAGTTGAATATGCTGTGGGTAAAATAAATGTTCATATTATAAAGACATGGCAGGGAGAAATGTTGTTTAATGCAGTGCTTCTTGCACAGTCTGAGACCCACTTTATATTGGATATCAGTGGAGATCGCTGATTTATAAAGAAAACAGACCTGAATTGTGTTGATTTTGTAATGGCATACAGTTCACCGGAAATGCTTGACCAAGGTTACTGACAAATTAAAAGTCCTTCCGCATACTTCTGCATATACTCTATTACACCTGTGCATAACAATGACAATGAATTTTTTTAAACTACGGTAAAATTTGTAATTTGATCTGTAGTACCATAACCCAAGCTGTGGTATTTAATTTATTTACATGTTATAAAATAACCATAATTACTTTATATGTTTAAATAAAACCTAATTTACTGAAGTAGGCCCACACGGAATCTGCGCGCGTAGAACTCCCGCAGATATTCAGCCCATCATTAATTCTGATTATGAGTAAATGTGTGTAAATCTATATTTATTCGGTTTTTAAATTAATTACAGTAATATTATTGACTAATATGAAAATGTTCATCTGGTATATGCACGATGCAGTTTGTACAGTAATATGTTCTGTCTTTTAGTAGAGATATATTATGACAGACTTGCTTTGTTTACCAAATTAAGTGAATCTAATTGGATTTGCATTTTAAACATTAAATAAAGGTTAAAAAGATTTTATTTTTTATTTCATATATTAAGGTTTTATTTTTGAAACTCCCAAAATAATTTAGCAGAAATCTGCAGATTTTTACTAAAATTCTTTGCAGGAATCGCAAAAAAACGTCCGCAGATTCTGTCTGGCTCTACTTATTACACCTGTACATAACAATGATAATGACTGTAATTTTAATTTTAAAAAAAAAAACTACGGAAAATTTGTATTTGATCTGTAATACCATAATCCCAGGTTGTAGTACTTTATTTATTTACCTGTTATAAAATAACCATAATTACTTAATATGTTTAAATAAAAACCTAATTTACACATTGTGTACATTTATTACAAAAATACCATTTTATTATTACAATTTCATCACTTATGAATATTTCAAACTGTATATTTACTCTAAAAAGTATATGTGACATTACAATTGTTAACAATTATTCAAAAACGATTATTTATTCTGATTTGATTAATTAAATTAAAACCCAGGATTTTATAAAGAAATAATAAAAAAATGTCAATTTAAAACATTATTTTCATTTACATTATTAGCGGCATATTTTAGGATAAATAATTTTATTTTATTAACCTGTAAACGTTTTATTGTATCAATAAAATAAACATTAAAATAGCCACATTAATTATTAACTATAAAAATAAACTTGCATAAAAGCTCGGATTCACTTTTTCATGTATAATATACCTATAATAATAGGGCAGTACGGTGGCGCAGTGGGTAGAACAATCACCTCACAGCAACAATATCACTGGTTTGAGTCTCGGCTGGGTCAGTTGGCATTTCTGTGTGGAGTTTGCATGTTCTCCCCGTGTTGGTGTGGGTTTCCTCCGGGTGCTCCAGTTTCCCCCACAGTCCAAACAGTAGCCTTGGTCGTACTTGGCCGTAGTGTATGAGTGTGAATGTAAAACGGGTGTTGGGTTGCAGCTGAAAGGGCATGCTGGATAAGTTGTCGGTTCATTCTGCTGTGGTAACACGTAATTAATAAAGGGACTAAGCCGAAAAGAAAATGAATGAATAAATGAATAATATATATGATTTATTTTAAACTACTAGTATTATTATTTTTATAAGACTATTACTTTAAAATTCAGTAGAATTATTAATAATTATTAAATATTAATGCATTATTTTAGCTGCAATACTTTAAGTGAAAGTAAATGCGCTGGGAAATTATATTTACTTCTCCATTATATTTCAGGTTACTGTGTGTGTGTGTGTGTGTTTCTGCTATATTTACCTGCTGAAAGTGTTTGCCCCCTGCAGGTCTGAAAGTGGCGTTCGAGGGCTCCTTCTGCTCACACACGAGTCTGACATTCACAACACACACCATCAGAGTCATAGTCAATGTTTATTAGCAAAAAAACTCCTGAAGCAGCCGCTCTTACTGTATCTGTCGTCTTTGCAGCGCTGCAGGATCTCAAGGCTCCGCTGGTGAACGGGGTGATGCAGAAAACTGAAACTGTCCACACTTTTCTGAGGCTGAAGATGAACATCAGAGCCTGGAGAAGCAGAGAAATGCAGAAAACATGCGAGTAAATCAAGAAGAAGAGCTTCATTAATGATCGATCACGCTCACATGTACGGTTTTTATTGGTGAAGATTGACTGTTTGTGTTTCTGCATCAGCAAAACCCTTTAATAATAGAGCATTTATCACTGAGATGTTTACTAACATGCAGACATGTGCAACTCTACTGGCCAATACGCTTTCAGTATTTATTTCATATTTAAATAGCTTCTAAACAAAATTATAATGATAATAATAGTGCTGTGTTTTTAATGTTTACGAAGCAGATGTGCTGTATTTTCAGTGTTTATAAAGCAGACGTGCTGTATTTTAGGTGTTTATAGAGCAGTTGTGCTGTATTTTAGGTGTTTATAGAGCAGATGTGCTGTATTTTCAGTCTTTATACAGCAGATGTGCTGTATTTTAGGTGTTTATAGATCAGTTGTGCTGTATTTTAGGTGTTTATAGAGCATATGTGCTGTATTTTAGGTGTTTATAGAGCAGATGTGCTGTATTTTCAGTCTTTATACAGCAGTTGTGCTGTATTTTAGGTGTTTATAGAGCAGATGTGCTGTATTTTAGGTGTTTATAGAGCAGTTGTGCTGTATTTTCAGTGTTTATAGAGCAGATGTGCTGTATTTTGAGTGTTTATAGAGCAATTGTGCTGTATTTTGAGTTTTTATAGAGCAGTTGTGCTGTATTTTAGGTAATTATAGAGCAGTTGTGCTGTATTTGGAGTGTTTATAGAGCAGTTGTGCTGTATTTTAGGTGTTTATAGAGCAGATGTGCTGTATTTTAGGTGTTTATAGTGCAGATGTGCTGTATTTTAAGTGTTTATATAGCAGATGTGCTGTATTTTAGGTGTTTAAAGAGCAGATGTGCTGTATTTTCAGTGTTTATAGAGCAGATGTGCTGTATTTTCAGTGTTTATAGAGCAGATGTGCTGTATTTTCAGTGTTTATAGAGCAGATGTGCTGTATTTTAGGTGTTTATAGTGCAGATGTGCCGTATTTTAAGTGTTTATATAGCAGATGTGCTGTATTTTAGGTGTTTAAAGAGCAGATGTGCTGTATTTTAGGTGTTTAAAGAGCAGATGTGCTGTATTTTCAGTGTTTATAGAGCAGATGTGCTGTATTTTCAGTGTTTATAGAGCAGATGTGCTGTATTTTAGGTGTTTATATAGCAGATGTGCTGTATTTTCAGTGTTTATAGAGCAGATGTGCTGTATTTTCAGTGTTTATAGAGCAGATGTGCTGTATTTTATGTGTTTATATAGCAGATGTGCTGTATTTTCAGTGTTTATAGAGCAGATGTGCTGTATTTTAGGTGTTTATAGAGCAGATGTGCTGTATTTTATGTGTTTATATAGCAGATGTGCTGTATTTTCAGTGTTTATAGAGCAGATGTGCTGTATTTTAGGTGTTTATTTTTTATTTTAAGTGTTTATAGAGCAGTTGTGCTGTATTTTGAGTGTTGTGATGCTGTATTTCCACTAACCGCTGCTCCGGTTGTCTCTGTGCTGGAGTCCGGCATGTCTAAAAGCCACGAGCGCCCTGAAAAAGGCCCGAATCACGGCCCATCTGAAGCTGGCGACAGGATCCAGACCCATCAGCCCACAGATGAAGGCCTTTCTGCTGCTCTTCAACAAAGACACAATGTCCGGACGCAGGTGATCCGTGTTCTTCTCCCGGAAATCCTGACGGCACAACAACACCTCATTAGGAGCGACTTACGGTTGTATTATGACACATGCATTGCTTTATTTACCTTTAGGATTTCACACACACACACACACACACACACACACACACATTATTCAAACAACCATACAAACAACTGTATTTTATATTCATTCTATTGCTTTATATTCTTATTATGCACTTTTTAAATCAATAATTACAGTGAATATTACAGTAATAATAGCAGTTTGTTATTGACAGAGTGTTGGGAACACAGTTTCTGTCCTGAAGGATGACATGAAGCATCTGCTGTTATAATCGACACATCTGCTGAAACGCCTTCAGTAAACACATAAAACACACACACGGACCAACAACATCTGCATGTGTGTGTGTGTGTGTGTGTGTGTGTGTGTGTGTGTGTGTGTGTGAAGATTTAACCCCCTGCCAAACATGTGCTCCAGATTCACTCACAACCAAGAGACTGAATCCAACCAATCAGATTAATCCTCAGAATTAGGTCACTGTGTGTGTGTGTGTGTGAACATATGCAAACGCTCAGTTAATCTCACACACACAGATATGAACATGCTTAACCCTCAGGATCTGTAAGACTGGTTTCACATTCTGCTCAGTTTTGGACCTAAAGAATCTGAATAGACTGGAATAAATGCTAATGTCTGTATTTTTGTGTTTAATCGCTGTATTAACACAATTTAATTGTTTTTTTAATCACATTTCACTTTGTTTTCATTTAAAAATGGAGGAATACTCTGATATTTCATGTTTTATATTAATCATGCCAAAAATCTACAATGCTAAATATTTATGTGTTTTTAATAACCCTGAGAAATGTTATGAGATTATATCACTGTGTAACATTAATAAGAACATATAATCATTATCCCCATTGGAATGAATGTAATTTAATATATTTAGTCAAAAATAGTTCATTAATAACCTAAATATATTTATAATAACAACAACATTACTATTTTAAACCTTTCAAACACAAAATCAACTGACTTGCATTAAAATTACATTTTAGATGGAAAAGTGATCAATACTATATTTGTTTGTCAACAAGTGTACACACACACATATTTAATTATTATTACAAAATAATAAATATATTTTTATTTATTTTTTATATTTAATTTATTACTTTATTTTGTATTTTTTAATTACCATGATTGTTATTCGTATTATTAAGCTTATTTCATGCAATTATTTTTTTTATTGTTGTTGTGTTGTTTGGTAATTACTGAAAATTTTTTTTTAATTATTTTTTAAATATTTCCTAAATGATGTTTAACAGATTCAGGAAATTTTCACAGTATGTCTGATAATGTTTTTTCTTCTGGAGAAATTCATATTTGCTTATTTTGGCTAGAATAAAAGTAGTTTTTAATTTTTAAAAAATCATTTTAAGGTCAATATTATTAGCCCCTTTAAGCTATGCATTTTTCGATAGTCTACAGAACAAACCATCATTATACAATAACTTGCTTAAATACTGTAACCTGCCTAGTTACCCTAATTACCCAAGTAAAGCCTTTAAATGTCACTTTAAGCTGTATAGAAGTGTCTTGAAAAAAGAGAAAATAAATCAGTTATTAGAAATGTGTTATTAAAACTATAATGATCAGAAATGTGTTGAAAAATACTGTTTGAAGTGCAGTGAACATTAATAATGCGGATCTCTGTGTTAAATGTGTGTTTGTTCTGACCTTGACGCTGTATTTGACTTTGCCGGCGTAATGGCGGATGATGAACGCCGGCTCCATGACGGCTGGAAACTCCATATAAGCGTTTCCTTCGTGCTGCCGCTTAAACTTGTCCAGCAGAGTCTGATTGGACGCCTGCGGAAAACTACAACACACACATATTAACACACAATGCACACAGATTCATCAGAATATACAGATTATTTCAGATGTATCGCTGGGTTCACACCAAATGTAAATTTAAATATTTGTGTGATGATTACATACAAAGGCAATGCAAATGCAGAAATACAGGTGAATTTCCACCGGGTGGCACAAATAACGCTGTATGCATGACACGTTTGCAACAAACAGATGGAATTCTCCTCAATTTCAATTCCTGCAGAAGTTGAACAAAACTTTGTGTGAGCCGAAAAACATCCCGTGAGTAGCCTAGAGCCAGTGATGCAACACACATGTTATTATCGCATAAAATGTGAACCCAGCATGAGGCTTTAGACATCAATATTTCATCACTACTGTACAATAAAAATCATACGATGGCAAAAAAAAAAAAATTAAGAGCTTTGTCTCTGCATTTCGTCTGGTGAGTTTCGGTTGTTGTTTTGTCAGGTGAGTTTTAATTGCTGGGTATTGTCAGCTGCGTTTCGTCAGTGAGTTTTGCGTGTCGTGTTTTGTCTGTTGCGATTTTTCAGGTGAGCTTCGTTTGCTGTTTTGTCAGGCGAGTTTTGTTTGTCGTGTTTTGTCTGTTGCATTTTGTCAGGTGAGTTTTGTTAGGTAAGTTTCGTTTGCTGTTTTGTCAGGGGAATTTGTTGTTTATCGTCTATTGCATTTTGTCTGTTGCGTTTTGTCTGGTGTGTTTTGCCAGCTGCGTTTTGTCTGGTGCATTCGTCTGGTGCGTTTAGTTTTTTTTTTTTTTTTTTTACAGTGGCGAGGAAAAACTTCACCAATTGGGGAAAGTGAAGAATTAAAAAACCTTGAGTGTGCTTTTTCTGGTGCGTTTCGTTTGTCACGTTTTGTCTGATGTGTTTTGTTTGTCGCATTTTGTTTGGTGCGTTTTGTCTGGTGTGTTTAGTTTGGTGGGTTTCATCAGTTGTGTTTAGTTTTTTGTGTTTTTCTGTTTTGTTTAGTTAGGTTAGTTTTGTTTGTTACATTTTCTCTGGTGTGTTTTGTTAAGTGGGTTTCGTTGGGCAAATTTCATTTGCTGTTTCGTCAGGTGAATTTGTTGTTTTTCGTCTGTTGCATTTTGTCTGGTGTGTTTTGTTTGTTGAGTTTTGTCTGGTGTGTTATGTCTGGTGCGTTTGTCTGGTATATTTCGTCTGGTGTGTTTTGTTTTGTGCGTTTCGCCAGTTGCGTTTATTTTTTGTTTCGTCTGTTGCATTTTGTCTGGTGTGTTTAGTTTGTTGCGTTTTGTTAGGCGAGTTTTGCTTGTTGCATTTTGTCTGGTGTGTTTCGTCTGGTGTGTTTTGTCAAATGTGTTTCGTCTGGTGTGTTTTATCAGTTGCGTTTTGGTTTTTTGGTGTTTTGTCTGTTGCATTTTGTTAGGTGAGTTTTGTTTGTTGCATTTTGTCTGGTGTGTTTTGTCTGGTGCGTTCTGTCAATTGTGTTTCATCTGGTGTGTTTTGTCAAATGTGTTTCATCTGGTGTGTTTTGTCAAATGTGTTTCGTCTGGTGTGTTTTATCAGATGCATTTTGTTTTTTTGGTGTTTCGTCTGTTGCATTTTGTTAGGTGAGTTTTGTTTGTTGCATTTCGTCTGGTGTGTTTTGCCAGTCACAAAATGTTATTCGTCTGCTGCATTTTGTCAGGTGAGTTTTGTTAGGCAAGTTTTGTTTGCTGCGTGATATCAGGTGAGTTTTGCTTGCTGCATTTCATCTGGTGAATTGTTGCGTTTTGTCTGGTAAGTATTGTCTGTTGCGTTTTGCCTGTTGTGTTTCATCTGCTGTGGTGAGAAACTCACTTGCACTCCTCGTCCAGCAGGTGGAGCAGTGCTGTGGGCTTCTTACTGATGAGGTTGATGCAGGCCGTATTATCAATATAATCGATCATGTGCCAGTTGATGCCCTCAGATCGATACTCCTCCTGATCACATAAGACATCAGACTTAAATCCTCTTCAACTTTTAATATTACATCTATTAACTTCATTTTACCATTTATTTATTAAACTCCACCCTAGTGTGCTGTTTGAGGATGACTAGTTTAAACTAAGTGACAATTATAGAATAAATAATAAATAGGAAATTAACTACTCCGACTTTTCTAAAGCACAAACATCAAAAATCTAACACTCCTACAACCTGAATAAGCATAATTACTGTAAACCCCCAGGTATGTTGCTATTGCAATGCTGCCACTGTACAGCAAGTCCTCCTCAGAGCAGATGTCCATGAGTGAGGGTCTATATGTACTAATGAAGGTCATGTGACGGTTGTTCATGTATTCTTCACCTGCTCCAGTTTAAAGACGTGCTGGTTAAAGTAATGCTGCAGCGTCTCATTGGCGAAGTTGATGCAGAACTGCTCGAAACTGTTGTTCTCGTAGTCCTCGAAACCGAAGATGTCCAGCACACCAATGGACAGGATCTGAAACACACACACACACACACACACACACACGCGCATTGTCTATGTGAACAGGAATGATTATTAATACGCGAGTAGGAGAAGTGTGAATGTGAAAGTAGCGCTGATGTAGGAGGCTGTGTGACGTTCTGTACAGCAGATGACTATGGAAAAAATAAGAGACCACTAGAACATTCTCTGCATTTATTATGTGTGTGAGTTTGGTCAAATATTAATATTTGTTTCATTCTATAAAGATCTGACAACATTTGAGTCAAACCTCTAATAGAAATACTGTCATTCAGATCAAGTTTCTTCATTTAGTCAAGTAGAGAGACCATGTTTCAGTGTGTTGTTGGTGAAAGTATTTGTGATAAATTATTATATATGAGGAATAATCTGCTTTAATCACAGATATTAATGAAACATCACTGTATTTCACACTGAAGACAGTGGATCTGCTGGATTCTGATCATTTCTCTCATGTATTACCGTATTTCAGATCAAACAAAAGCAGCCAGACGAGCAGGAGAGATGCAAAACCCCTTCAAATGTGTGTGTGTGTGTGTGTGTGTGTGTGTATATATAGGTGTGTGTGTGTCTGTCTGTATGAGTGTGTTTGTATGTGACAAGGTGTATGTACATAATTGTGTGTTGATGAGTCTATAAACACATAAGTACGTGTGTGTTTGTGCGTGAAAATATGTGTGTGTGTGTATGTGTGTATGTGTGTGTGTGTGTGTGAGACAATGTGTGTGTACATGAGTTTGTATGTGTGTGTGACAATGTGCATGTACATGAGTGTGAGTATGTATATTTATACACATAAGTGTGTTCGTGTATTAGAAAATGTAAATTTATACGAGTGTGTACATGAGTGTGTGTATGCATCTTTATACACAAGTGTGTTTGTGTATGAGAACGTGTGTATTTATATGAGTGTGTGTTTGTGTGTGAATTTGTTTGTACATAAGTGTGTGTGTGTGCGTATCTATATACACAAGTACGAGTGTGTATGCATATGAGTGTGTGTGTTCGTGTATATGAGTGTGTTTGTGTGTTAGCATGTGTGTGTATGTGTGTGTGTGCGCATGTATGAGCACGTGTGTGATTATTTATATGAGTGTGTTTGTGTGTGAGACTGTGTGTGTATGTGCATGTTTGTGTGTGTGCGCGTACATGTATGAGCACATGTGAGCAGATGTATGTGTGTGTGTGTGTGTGTGTGTGTGTGTGTGTGTGTGTGTGTGTGTGTGTATGTACATGTGAGTGTGTGTGTATTTATACGAGTGTGTGTTTGTGTGTGTGTGTGTGTGTGTGTGTGTGGGTGTGTGTGTGTTTGAATGTGTATCTATATACACATAAGTACATTAGTGTGTTTGTGTGTGAGAATTTGTGTATGCATTAGTGTGTGTGTGTGTGTATGTACATGTGAGTGTGTGTGCATTTATATGAGCATGTGTATGGGTGTGAATGTCTATGTACATGCAAGTGTGTGTATTTATACGAGTGTGTGTTTGTGTGTGTGTGTGTGTTTGAATGTGTATCTATATACACATAAGTACATTAGTGTGTTTGTGTGTGAGAATTTGTGTATGCATTAGTGTGTGTGTGTGTGTATATGAGTGTGTTTGTGTGTGGGAATGTGTATGTACATGAGTGTGTGCGTTTACGTATTACTGTGAAAGAATGTGTATGTTTATAATTGTGTGTGTGTGTGTGTGTATGTGTGTATCTATACACATAAGTACATGTGTGTATGTACATGAGTCTAAGTGTGTGTGAGTCTGTGTGTGTGTGAGAATGTGTGTGTATGTACATGTGTGTGTCTGTGTGTATGTATATGACTGAGAATGTGTGCATATGTACATGAGTGACTGTGTGTGCATGTACGAGCATGTGTGTGCGTATGTATATGTGTGTTTGTGTGTGTATACATGTGAGTGTGCATGTATTTATGTGTGTGTGTGTATCTATATCCACAAGTATCAGCATGTATGTACATCTCTGCATATATATGAGTATATATGAGTGTGTGTGTGTGTGT